CCACGTTACACGTAGTTCAATTTGAGGGATACCAATTAACATTATATAACAAAATATTATTTCCGTTACGTTCATTACGTTCATTATATTATATTCAATATCAAAATCTCACAACCCATTGTTATATCGTTTACTAATATTATCTTTTCTTTTCTTTTCCAATACCGGTTCTTGATTTCATTGAAGTTTACCTCAATTGGCGAGAGCAGTGATGAATGTGCAACTATTATATGAGTAATAAGAAGCTTTGCTTATAATTTTCCCTCCTGTTCTCTTCCTCTTCTAATCTTTTGGAAAACAAAAACCTAAATCTATACTCGCGTACTTCAATTTTCAATCTTCAATGTTCAATTCTCCATTTTTTTTTTTCATCCCTACAATGAATGTGTCTACTGAGTACGAGTAATCCCTTCAATCAGAACTATGCTTCCTCTCTTTCCTCTCATCTCGTCTCATCTCCTGTCATCTCCACGCCTCTTTTCTTCCTCTCCTCCCTCTCCTACCTCTCCTCCCTCTCCTACCTCTCCTCCCTCTCCTACCTCTCTTTCCTCTCTTTCCTCTCTTTCCTCTCTTTCCTCTCTTTCCTCTCCTCTCCTACCTCTCCTCTCCTCCCTCTCCTTCCTCTCTCTTAGTCAAGGCAGTGTATATATACTCAGTATACTCAGTATACTCGTATATACCAATACCAATACCAATATATCACAATCCTCTCCAGTGGATTTAAATTATTGAATTATCAGATATATATAGTAAGTAATATATATTTGATAATCTGAATAATCTACTCAAGTAGATAGGTATTTCCTTCCATCTTTATCTTTATCTCATATACACGTACACATTCTCTTTCAGACATATATATATACAGTGCACATACACACATACCGGGTCGGTACTCACACATTTATATATAGCAGGTTTGAATCAATATAACATATTTGATCGATCGAGTAATACTATACTATGTTAGAAAGTGATGCCCTATAGCGTAGTGGAAGTAGCAGTATTATTAACTATCTTAAGAAAAGGTTGAACTAATAGAATTAAGCTTTCTTCCCACACAAGGTTATCATCTTAGCTGTGACCAAAAGGGTATAAACAGGACTCCGATTGTGTACTTAGAATCTACAAGTGAAGAGCTATGTAGGATGCTAAAAGGAGGACTATATATACAGGTATTGGGAGCCATAAGGGCTAGGCCAAAAAGGGTGAAAGAGTCCTAGGCGTAAGATGCCTAGGTCTAGAGCTATAGAGCTAGGGGTCTAAGCTGTGAAAGGAAGGTCCAAAAGAGCCGTCATATCATACTACATATGTAGTATGAGCCAGTGGGCGGAAGAGAGCCGTCTGTTCCGTCACATGATCTTTCTTTTAGTAGCGATGCGATTCTTTTGTTTTATCTAATTGTCAATTGCTTTTACAAACCGGAACTTATAATCTGTTAGAAAATAATGCTCTATAGCATAGTGAAAATAGCAGTATTATTAATTATCTTAAGAAAAGGTTGAATTAGTAGAGTTAAGCTCTTTTTTACCCAAGGTTATCACCTTGGTGGGGAAACCACTTAGCGCCTCTACCAGTCACGTGCCCATATACATATGACTCCCTTTAATCTCAACTTCCAACATACTATTTGATATTATTTCTATTTCTACCGTATTACCATTATATTTACGGTTTATATTTATTTATAATATCAATACTACAAAACATCACCATCACCATCACCATATTCCCTCAAGTATTCTCCACGCCCCTTTATCTCTCTCTCTCTCCCCCTCTCTCCCTCCCTCCCTCTCCCTCTATCCCTTCCTGTCTCCCTCCCTTCCTCCCTCCCTGTCTTCCTTCCTGTCTCCCTCTCCCTCCCTCTATCTTCCTTTATTCCTCTCTATTCCCCTTTCTCCCTCTCTCTCCATCATTCTCTCCATGCATTCCCATCCATACCCCTACTACTCTATCACATTACATCCCTACCATCCTACATCCCTTCTTCTGTTCACCATCACGTCACCGTATCATTATCATGTCATCAAATCACCATCATCACCCTCAGATTTTAGCGAGGAGAGAGTCACTGATCATTCACTCACTCACTCACTCACTCACCCTTTAACTCACCCATTAACTCACTCACTCACTCACCCACCCTTTAACTCACTAACTCACTAACTCACTCCCCCACTACCCCCCTAACTTACCCACCCATCAAAATCACATTAATATACACACACACAAGCAATAAACTCCCAACTTCCCAACTTCATATTCACAAAACCACAGTATCGATACTCATATTAAAATTACTCTCTAAACATATCAAATTCATATCAAATTGATGATTTCTATTTTCTCCCTTCTCCCTCCCCCCTAAGGCTTTTCTAAGAACCTTTGAAATACTCGAGTACCGTTACCGTGACACTTTAATTATCACCAGTATCTCCTATCTACTACAAACCTACCAGCAAACCAGGATGTACTCGGTACAGTAGACCTTTCTCGCTTCTCCCTCCTCCCTTCTCCCTTCTCCTTCTCCTTCATCAACATCAACATCAACACCCACCCCCTTCACCCTAGTACTAATACCGTACTCCGCAAAACAAACGAGTTCCATGAGCAATAGTACTACATGTAATCAATGAAAACACCACAACGCAGTAAGAACCACACAAACAAAGAAACTCCCGACCATGATCTTCCACCGTGACGTTTCTCATCAAATAATTATTCTAATCTAGTACTGATGATGACTACACATGTATGTACTAGACTCCAACTATTTGTTCATACGCCAGTCCATCTACAAGAAGAAAGCGGCAATACCACCAACGATGGCTGCAATGCTCAATTCAACTGTGGCTGCACCGGCGGTGATTTGTGTGGGTGTGGTTGTAGTGATGGTGCTGTTGATCTTGTTTCCGGATTTCGAGTCAGGGTTGGAGCTTGAACCTGAACCTGAACCGGAACCGGAACTTGAACCTGATACAGGACCTGGACCGGAACCAGTGCCAGCTGTCTTGTTAGAAGATGGCCCAGACCCTGTGCCAGAGTCTGAACCTGCAACTAAACCTGAACCTGAACCTGAATCAGTGCCAGATGTCTTGTCACAAGATGGTCCAGACCCTGTACCAGAGTCTGCACCTGTACCTGCACCTAAACCTGAGCCCGGACATGAACCCGAACTAAAGCTTGAACCGGAACCTGAACCATTGCTAGATGTCTTGTTAAAAGATGACCCAGAACCTGTGCCAGACCCTGTGCCAGAGTCTGAAACTGCCCCTGATAATGGACTTGTGCCATTGGTCTTGTTACTTCTGGATGCAGCGGATGGCTCGCAGCATTGCCGAAACGCCACTGCACAACTTCGCTTGAGTGCACCGGCATTCATAGCGCAACTCATGTAGTTTTGATAGCATTCACTTTCCGTAGGCGCAGAAATGGTTTGATCGTACAAGGTACATGTGTTGTTCAGTGCAAGAGGACACGTGTTATCAGTGCAGATAGATTGCAGTTGGGGTCCTTGAGCAGGGACAACAGTTGTAGGTGGCAAGCAACGATAACCGAATGATTGTCGAAGTTCGTTTCCGACAATCATGAGATCTAAAGTACCAACGCCTATAGCCTGAGCAGATAACGTAACTTGTTGAATAAAGTAACTGACTTCGACGTTGGAAAGATGCATGAATCTGTTTTTGTTAGAGGTTGCACTGCTTGATTGTCTAAATCTACATTCGAACAATGAGGAGTGCCATGAGGCATCCAGTCGACTCACTTGTGGACGTTGTATTGAGACCCAGAACCAGAATATGCCGGACGGACAGCGCCACCTTGTTTGGAACATCCAAGTAACACGCCGAAATACTCGTAAAGATGAGTCATGAGGAAGCTTTCGTGATTAGCCTTATTTTATATTAATTTTCTGAAGAGCTTACTATTGATTGGATGTCGTTCCAAAGGAAGGCAGGCCTTGAGAAAGAGGTCGGAATCCACCATCATCAAGAAAATTGACAGTCACTGGCTTGTTACCAACATTCGTAGATGCAAGACGGCCGTCGAAATATGGTAACAAATCAACCTTGATACCATTGTAGGTTCCGCCTCCGAAAATACCAGGAAAAAGGAGGCCACCCATGTTTGATTTGTCGTCTGCAAAAGATTCATGAGTGAAGTTCATTCGGGAACTGAATAGAAGACTTACAGCTACCAATAAGAGCATAATTGACGAGGTGTGTCAACAAAATGAGTTGTTTGGTAGCAGTGTTATCTTTTAACAGGGCAGTGGTATAGTAATCGCAGATACTGGTATCCTTGGGACGTTGGGCACCAACTGCACCAACAAGGACAAGAGCTGCCGCAAGAAGAGAATCAAAATGCATGATGAATGAAGATGCTTCAAATGATAATGCGAAAGAAGAATGTAGCTCTGATAAGTTTTGATATTACTAGAATTGATGAAGCAGAACCAAAAATGTAATGAAGCCAAAAGAATTTGATGATGTATTGTTGATGTTGTAGAGAAGAAGAATGAGATGGGAAGAAGAGGTTTTATGATTGTAAACACAGGTGAAGGAGAGTAGACTTCGTACTTTCCGTAATGAGTTGCAACTTTGGTTTGAGAAGGAACCATATTGATGGCTTACTATCAACCACCGAGGAAGGATAGAGTGAGTTGACATCAACTTCCAAGCTACTTCCATATCTCAAACCTCAATTGATCAATCCATAATTGTATCCTGCCATTGCATATCGTTGAACCCGAATAGCTTCCCCGTAGACCAGAGGATGGATGAAGGAATACCGGTATGTTCCAAAGGGAGCCTCTATTTTCAATCTCTGAGTATCAGTAGGTAGACTAGAATAGACGATGCTCGTTATCCGAAAGAGAATATGCATCGAACCTCACTACATATACTCGAGTAGGTGATTCAAAGTAGCCCGGTCGGTCCATCAATCAAGATGATAGTGAAGAACGTACCCGTATATGTCAACGGCAACATTCGAGCACCAGATAATGTCTCTTATCTGTAAGATTAATATTTACCAAAGACGAAATAAAGAATTTTGAACTCTCGATCGGTAGCCATTTCATCACTCCTTGACGATGGAGGAACGATCTCCTGGATGTACCAGCCACAGCTATCCCAATGAATATTGAAATCCGTGAGGACATACAGAGAAATTGATCTCCATGTTAAAGATACCGATTTTTAAGTTGAAATTGACTATATTGATTGAAAGTCCTGGCTTGAGCCCGTACTTGTACACATTTGAACCCCAATGTGGAAAACTGTACTCGTAGAAGATCGATCATTCTTGTTTCTCCAAATCTAGACGATCGTTGGATGGCCAATCAAAGCTACAGCATCAGTAAATAGCTACAACCCAGAAACGGATTCAATCCCTTTCGAAGATTGAATGTGACATACGGCGTCGTTGAGAACTTTCATTTCAGAAACGACTCATCCGCAGCTGCTCGTCGTTAAAAGCGACGATTAGCCTAAGAATGCGATAGCCCCTATATGTTCAGAATTGAATTGAAGAGGTGTCGTTGTTAGTTTCAAGGCTTTGGACACATACTATTTTCCAAACTGCTACACCGGGTTGGATCAGTGAAGAAGAGTCAAACACCGTACTGGCACGACGTAGACTGGAATCATCTCGCAAAATAAGTACAGCCATTACCTTCTGCACAAGATTGATCGGACTCTCATTTTGAGACAACCCGATAACTCGTCTGATTGATTCAAATCCGAGTTACCCCAATACCTTAGAAATGATTAGTATGTTCTGTTTGGTGTTGCAGTAAACTGATGACAACTGAGTATTTGTAAATGAATCGAGTTCGACGCGTATCATATGGTAGCATTTTATCCCGCTGCACCAATAATACTCCTCACGAAGAGGACTTTGTAGATAAACTCTGACACTTCTCCTTTGATGTGCAACCTCTCTTGCACATTTTCCGTAGTGATCAAAAGATCGACTATGTAAATGTCAAACCGATTGCGCAAAGATTCAGATCTTATCGCCTGACGTGCGGTGTGGTGTACTGACTGTACTCTCAAAGGTATGACGGGGGGTCTCAGCTTGCAATCTCACAATCAAGATGAAGATGTATCGCTTGCTGCAACTCATCAATGATATGATGAATCCCGACGGATTAATTGATACCCGGTGGCTGGGGAAACGGGATCGTAACTCGATTTGATCTTCGGCGATGTGTCTGAAATGGTATCCGGGGGTGAAATGGTATCGTGTGGGGAGGACTCGGGTTGATGAGTGGTATACATACTGTAGTAGCGCTTTCTAAGTTGGTAATCGGATCTTCTTAACGCAAATCAATACCGATGAATGAATGCCACGGTTTATCTCGAGTTTCATAGATTGATCTCCACAAAATGAGTTGTTTGACAGATGAGAAAACCCAAGTCACTTTGCATACTATCATGATACTCGAGTATATATAATATCAAGGATCCCTCGTGGTTATATAGGTGGGACTGTGGTCTGTGGTGAATTGTGGAGAGAAGAGATCTCCCGGAATCCTATCGACGGATGAATAATCAAAACAGATCCTGGATATGAAGGTAAAGAAAGGGTTTGGTGATTGGTTGTGTGAAACGCTTGTTCGGGAGTTGAAAACCGACACTCTATCTAAGACTAAGACTTAAAGTCTATTAACCTGATATCAGAATGCTTCTATAAATCTATAATCTAATAATCTTTGATATCTTTGGTTCTAATTATTAAGGATATCTGGATATCTAAAAATAATGTATAAGCGGAGATTTGATGCACATAAATAATCCATGAAAATCGGATCTTCTAATTCAATATTTACCTACTTAGCGAATTTACCAAATTTACCCAATCTCCCTTCAACACATCGTCGGACATATCTTTTTCTGACTTGTTCTTGTTCTTGCTTTGATATCATCCTATTTTGTTCCATTCACTCACTCAATTCATTCTCTCTCTTCCTAGGTATTCCTTGCAACTGTGTCTAATTCAACCTATCAATTATCAATTATCCATTATCTATTATCTATTGATTGTCAATTCTCAATTCTCAATCCTCAATCATCAATCATCAATCGTTCCATATGCTATCGCCAGCATTCTATTACACTCGTTACACTCTCTATCGTATTCCTTGAAATTCCGGGATCTCCGTTCAAATAAAGGAATAAAAACTCAAAAATCACCAGCAAGAAAGAAAGAAAGAAAGAAAGAAAGAAAGAACGAGATCACAAACGGAATATCGATTAGTCTGTTCTACATTCTGCATGGTGTGGTGTTCAAGACAGCTTTGTACAACGACCCACCCCAAAAAAAATATCATGCAAGCAATCGCCTTGAACGACCAACGGAGAAGCCTGTAAGACGACATCACTCGAAACAGCTTGCATCACCTCTCACCTTCTCTTTGTTATCCAAGTACTATGTTTCAATTCCTCTGACGCATATAGACCATCACTCTTTTAAGGTCTTTCGAGCAATGCGCCAGATATTTACTTTTTTAAAAAAAAAAAGAATACTAACCCGTCAAACACAATCAAACCATGGAAAGTACACCAGTTATGACCTCTTCTGGCTCGAGGCTTGCTCCTCCAATGCTACATCCAAGATCTTCTTCGAGAACAAGATCACCAACGAGATCCTCAAGTCGATCGCACATTTCAGACGACCTCCTTTCCGACCTCACTCCTGCCACAACCCTACAAGCTTTCACTTCCCCAACAGGCAAATTAAAAGCGAGCATTGAAGCTGCTTCTCCTAAAGATCGAGCATTTGGCATACGCGCAACTTTAGCATCAAAGAAAGTACAAGAATGGTTGGAAGAATTATCAAATTGGCCATGGCCGAAAACTGGAGGATCGCCAGGCTTTGCAGTTCCAGCTTCAAAAAATATAAAATCGTCAACACCCAAATCGGACGCACAAACATCGTCACAGCAACATAAAGAAGACCCCGAGCCCAAGCCGCAGTATTGTGGGAGCCTTTTGTTCGAGCAGGTTGTGCGATATGAATATCGGATCGAAGAAATTGGAGAAGGCATGGATGGTTTGAAGGTGGAGGAAATAAAACGACAGGTTCTGGATACACACTTCTCCGCGAACTCCCGACCCTCATCTTCCTCTTCTACAATTGCCATGCCGACTTTTCTCGCCTCGTACACAGTCATGGATGATTTTACAGCTATAGTCACGGCCACGGTATTGCAGGCATTACCGAATTTGGCCAAATTGACACGTTTGATGGATATATGGGGTATTCGTCTTTCAGTACTTCGAAGAGTACCATCGTTACTACTCGGGTTGGATGATGCGGAGATGGCTTTGATTTCGGGATGGCAGGCTATCAAAATACCAGGCACACATATCACTGGATCTGGCGAAACGGCGGATACGGTTCTTTCACGCCAAACTTTCGAAGTCATGAAAAATGTTTTGCAAGCTAAAGTTACGATCCTTGGGAGAGATCTGGACTATATGCTCGATACTTTGGAGGGTAGGATGGACACCCTACCTGATAGCTGGTTAGACCGGATGGAAAATCTTGAACGGGATTATGGCGAATGGGTCGTTGCAGCGGACCGCAAGATTACGGATGGGGAACTAGCCGCAATTGCGACTCCACAAGTGGTGGAAAAAGACATGCCGCGAGCAGAAGATACTGAGCCTTCTCCTGAAGCCAGTGTGGACTTGATGAACAAGAACAAGGAGGCCGGAGCCTTAGGAAACCAAACGGCTCGTGAATCTAGTGTCGTGCCAATATCTGCGATCAATGACGATTCAACGGCAACAGATGTGAATGCTCACGAGGAGCCAACTACTACCCCCCCACAACAAGAAATTGGCATTTCGAATGGAATAGTTACTACACCAGAAAAGACACCATATTCTTGCATTGCTCAGCTCCAAGTCTATGAATCGGCCCAGACTACAATTTCAAAAAGCCCATCTCCTCCTCAAACCCCGTCGCCGATGTTGGACTTTCAGCCAATCGCACAGCAATCCGCGTGTGAAGGACAGGTATACACGCCGCTCAGTCGCTCGACTAGCGTAAGGAGTATCACCAAAGTTCCTAAATTTGGGCATACTTTTGCAAATGCTTTAAGGCGTACCATTTCCAATGACGAATCGCCAACAACTTTGAGTGATGATTCTTTGGCCGTAGCTCCTAAGATCTCAATACGGCCGTCATCGGTGATTCTTGATAAATTCCCTAGTCCACCCTTAAAGTCACCGGTAAGATATGATATGGCAAGACTTCGTAGTTCGAGCTCACCACTTATCATTGGAGCAGAACATAAACCCGTTGTCTCCAAAAGTTCTGCCCACTCTTCAGAGGATGGATCTTCCTTCGGTGCGACGGCTTCCAGTATCGCGTTAGCACAACATCTCGGCATTTCTTCTGCATCCCACATATCGTCACAGCATGTGAATATGGATACCGGCAAATTGAGGGAACCAGCACATTCATCTAGCAAGCCTTCTCACCTACCTACTCACACAACTACAATAGCTAGCAGTGACGGAGCATCCGAGAGTGTTCAACGTTTCGATCCTGTTGGGATGGAATTCGATCTTTTAGATGCTCGAATGGAATCACGCAGGCCATCCATAATCGTTGATAATATTCATGCAGATGACTCTCGTGATAGTGATGCTTCAGATGATTCGCTCTCGGAACGGTGCAGATCTCAAATGGCACAAGCAGCTGGCTCAAGTCCCGTCGACCAAGACTTAGATGGTACATCTACAGTTACATATGAAGGCTCACCCCTCCCACCTCGAAAAATGGCACATGATCTACAAAAGTACGATAATACTCCACCTGGTTCACCACCGGGAGCTCCAACCAGATCTGCTCGTCGCCCTCCTCAACTTCTCGAAAGTCCCGATTTCTCTCATCTGATGTCCACGGCTGACGATGCTTCCTTCCTTCATGATGTCAATGTGCTCGAATCTATTCCTGCATCGCCTGTTATTAGAAATAGCGACGATCAGATGCAACAACAAATAATCAATTTACTTCAATCAATTCCAGCTCATATTCGCCTTCGTTCCGAGCCAGAAGAAAAGTCAAATTCTCAAGGCATTCGTCCTCGAAAGGCTCGCCGCTCCGTTACTCCCTCGATGCCCTCGGTTCGTTCACAATCTTCGATTGGTAGTTTACGTGCACCAACGCCGTCGTTTACACTCGCTCCAGCTTATGCAAAGAGTGGTACTCCACGCCACAGGCCTCAAAATGGCAGTCCAGAGATTAAGGTCTATCATCTATCACGATCTAGTGGTGAAAAACCAATCAAATTATTTGTTCGCCTAGTGGGTGAACGTGGTGAAAGAGTCATGGTACGTGTCGGAGGTGGCTGGGCAGATCTTGGGGAATATCTCAAAGAATACGCAAGTCACCATGGACGACGAGCACCAGTTGATACCGATAAAGTCGAAGTTCAAGATTTACCGCCACGTATCCCATCTGGCGGTTCTACCATTCGTGAAAATGGTCGCACTACACCAGGACCTGGTCGTACCACACCTGGGCCTGGTCGCACTACACCTGGACCTCGTTCGGCATCTGCAATGGGTGTTCGTCCATCAACTGCTGTTGACCGACCTAAATCATCCCTCGGGATTCGCAAAACGCGAAAATCCACATTCTCCTCTTCCGATGAGGTGCCTCCCCTCCCAACTACACCTTTTGCTGAAGTTCAACGTGAACACGAAATGAATAACACCCCTCCATCAGCAGCCTCGAGATGCTCCTCAAGACTGGAATGGAATGAGGAGGATACTTCATTAGGTCTTGCCGGACCAAGAGGCAAACAAAAGGAATTAGATCAGATAGATCTAGAATGGGTTGAAGGTATGAAGGAGAAGGTTATGTTAGCGAGTGCGGAGAAGGAGAAGGAAAAACGTAAAGGAGGTCATAGGCAAAGTTTGGGAGAGCTGGATAAAGCTGGTGCTACTAAGAGGATGTTTAGGAAAACTTCTAGGTTGGAGCTTTAAGCGAGGGGGGCCTATTTTGTGCAAGGAATGGATTTTATTTCATTTCTTCCTGGAGAAATACTTTATTTCGTTTTCTTTGTTTGGAGTGGAAGGTCGGGAAATAACTCAGTGGTAGGATGGTTGGGTGGGGAGGTGGATGGAATAAATAGGAACACGATGGAAGGAATGTCTAGCTGCATGACATGATATGGCATGACATACATGAACGAGCAGTGAAGGGCGGATATACTACATAACATTATATTATATTACATAACCTCTTTTCTTTTCTTTTCTTTTCCTTTCTTTCCTTCACTTCGTATACCTTTTTTGGGGGGGGGGGACCTGGTGGTGGGTGGGTTTAGGGATAGGTGGAATAGATGGGATAAGACGGGATTGACATGCATGGTATTGCATCGTCTGAAATGGGAGGGTCGGTAGGGTAAAATGCTTGAAGGGGGTGTGACGGATGGATGGATGGATGGACAGAACAGAACAGAAATAGAGACAGAAATAGAAATAGAAACAGATTATGAGATTTGGGTTGAGTGGGTTGAGGGAGTTGAGGGAGTTGGAGGAGGTACTTGATGGGGGAAGGAATATTCGATAAGGAGGGAAGGAGGCGTGTGGAGCGACGCTGATTATATAGTGAATAAATGTTTAAGGTATCTATTCGAGCTAATTAAGAATGGGTAGTATGCATGTGATAGGTGCAGGTGGGTGTAGGTAGGTGCAGGTAGGTATAGGTAGTCACGCTTGGTGGACCTGTGACAATTATCTTTATCTACTCGAGTAAATACTATCTTTATCTCTTACTACTTTTATATAGATTATACTACTAAGTAGTAATTAGCGATAAGAATCACTATACTCTATTGTACTCTCAGGCTATAGGCGACGATTAGACTATATATATATATATACTCGCATTACTCTTTGTATATGTCTTTTTTATAATCCTATTTGTACTTTGCTTTTCAGACTGAATACCGGTAGCCTGGTGTATATTGCAAGTTTAATCATATAATAAGCAAGAACGTAATTCAGATAGATAGAGGTATTATTTATTGACTTTGAAAATTATAAGTTCAAAGGTTTTTAAGCGCTCTAGATTGGGTTTAATGCAATGCAATGCAATGCTGCCTAATCGAACTGGTTGGTGGTGTAAATATTTCGAAACGCCGTTTGACGTTTGACTCTATTATGAGCGTGGCCTCGGGTTTATTAGTACTGTAAACATTTCTTTAAATGGTTCTAATACCGGTACTTCAAGACTGATTGGATTGTATTGTTCAACTACTCATCAGATCGCTCGCATCTGCCGACATAGCATAGGGATCTCCATTTTAAAACCTTTTATTTTGCGACGATAGACGCCACCTACATCTATATCTATCCTTACAACCCCTCCTTTTCCTCCTCCCTCCTCTCTTCCCCTCTAAATCCCAAGCGGCTTCGATTCATTGACGATACCTTCTTACCATGGCTTCAACTAGCAACACCGACTGTTCGGATCTCGTACAAGTTGCCCAATCCAGCCTAGTTGTCCAAGGCTTGGTGAAAGATCTGTCACAATACTTTGACCCCGACACTATCACGGAGAAGGAAGGTTATTCAAGGGTGGAATGTCTACAAGATGAATCCAAATTATTGCAAGACGTAAGGCAAGGGTTCAAAAAAGAACTCGGTCGATCTAAGAAGGTATTAGTTGTTTCCGGATAGAATATGTTATAGTATAGTACACACTGACTCGAAAATATATTGCAGATCATTGATATTATCAAAACAATCGTCCCTCGTCCTAAAGAGAGATACTACATGTCTTTAATAGTCCATCTATTAGTATTTCAGACTGGATGCTCCAAATTCGAAGAAATGGTGGGCAAGGATGATTGTATCATTCTTATACCCGTTGTTATAATTGGCTCTGGCACTGGTATGCTTGAGGAGGAGGCAACAGGTCGACGGACAAGTATCACAATGGATGCAAACTCTGAGCTTGTTATTAGTGGGCGGTGTTCATTATACTTGGAGCCGGGAAGCAAAGCCGTATGCGTCGTGATGTCAATAGGAAAAGATAAAGATAAAGATAAGCTCTAGTGAAAATCGGACACTTTGATGCTGATAGATTTATTCATTGGTAATCTATCTATTATTCGATCGAATATTCTTAAAACTCCCAAGTATTTTCTGTCTGTTCTAAAACATCTAGCCCCTCTGAAGACCCATCCTAATTCAAGAAGTTCGTAATAATAGGAATAGTTTGGCAGATCTCCAGCTTCCTAGAAATTTAAAATAGTGTCCTTGTTCAAGAGCTTCACTTTCTGTGACAGACAACTCTAGCAACAGTCCGAGGCAGATCAGCCAACTCATCGAGTTGAGTAGGGTTCTGCAGTGTGATGTGTTGATCTATTATTTCTCTAACAACATATTGGCTCTCAACTGAGATGGTTTCTTGGCCTAGTGAAAATGAAACTATAGGAGTCAGTCGGAGGCGGAGTTACTTGAATACACAACACGTAACTCACGATATCGCTGGGAATCTTTAAGACTTGATTGTCCAGAGTCAGCGTCCTCAAGGTCAGAGCTTCCACACAGCATAGCGGGCACATTTGTAGCAGTCGCGGTAGCCCTAGACGATTGCGTGACAATCAATGTACTGGCACCATTGGGTTGAAAGCAGTAAAAGCGATGCATGACTCTGCAAGTTTTGAGAAGGATCCAATTTAGAGAATGAATTGTTCAGCCCTAGATCAATAATGGCTTGAGAAATCCCACTGAGTAGGCTGATAGTAACAATCATATATTTGTCGCACAATACTGAAAAGGTTCCCAAGAGTTATTTTTCTCTGGAACTCCTTCACAACACCAAGTGTAGCGAAAGAAGCACGAAAAGAATGTTTGTTGTGGAATATCTGGAAGTCTGAATGGCGAGATGGATATCTGAACCGCTGCCCATGTGAAAGATGACCTCACCGGGAGTAGTCTATAGAGTTCATACCCTATCTAAGCCCTGAAAAAGCTCACCGGGACAATGCTGTTTGCGATGTATAGCAAAATGAATGCGTGTTATCTGTTCTTTTGAAATTACCTGGCGCCAAGATCATGAAGTCTTTGCTGACCTATTCACAGCATTCTTTTGGTCCTGTAGGGAGATGTAGAAGGATTCATGGCTGCAAAGTTTCTTCAATTTTTTCTCGTTCATTTTTGAATAAACCGTGCATAGGTTTTGTAGTACACTTTACAAAATCAAGGGTAAGTCAGTTCTTCGGAATATGACTTTACCTGGTCGATTAATCCTTGACAGTAAAGTTGTTAGTACTAGGGTACATATTCCCAATTCACGTGTCCATGCATTAACTCCGCGTTCATCATCGTCTCTGGTATAACGATTTAAATCTTCCTAGGTGAAGCTGATGCTTGCTGCCGTCAAGTGATAGCGACAGTCTCTGTGCAGGTATATTGGATTGGATGTAGCATTGCATGAAGTTACATCTTAATTAATAATTCTATACCACCGGTGCATATTGGAGCAGGAATGAAAAGCAATACTTGGAATGTGATATCGAGTCTCTCGAAATTTAGGAAGGATTAGTCTAATATATAAGAGCTTAAGAAAAAGCTTGCAGAACAAGGCAATCAACACGAACCTTTCCCATCTCTTCTTACAGTACTAAAGTTTAGTCCGTCTTACTACCTGCATTTCTTTTCGTTTTCGGCTATCTTACAGCTGACATAGTGGATCCATTTTTCACCACCGTCATCACATCTGGCAGCTCCAATTCCCCCGAGACCATTGTAGATCGTGAAATGGCAGGGACTTGTAGTATTACTACGACAGCCAGTGATACTAACAAGAAAGTAACTGTGTATGCCTCGAAGTTATTTTGTTTTTTACTTTGCAAGATAGCTGATCTAATCCTTAGTACGGTTTTGGCATTTCACTAGAGACATCACCTGGTTTCTTCAGAATATCAGGAGATTGTTAAGCTATTATAGTTATTTTGGAATGTCTGGAAATTACTCTCACTGGAACTTGTACTTCTTGCTAAATATAACGATTGTTATTGAAGAATTTTTACTTGGTTATAGCAGTATTGAATATACAGTTATATATCAAACATATTTCAAGCTGAGGCTGAAGCCCCTGATCTATCTCGGTTTCGATTGAGAAACGTGTTTTTGATAAATGGAGGTTCTCCTGCAGTCCCAATCCACGAATCCGTCTTGGAAAGGAAATAGTCAGGAAGATTGTATATTGCAAGATGGAGATGAGATCGCTGGGTGCTAGTTGAGTATCTCTGGAAGAATATTCGAGAGGGACTTGCTGGTTTAATTGGTTGCTTCGTATGATATTGATGTTAGGGAATACGTTGAGGTTATCACGAAGATATACAGCTTAGATTTTGTTGCCTCAATTGATATGTTGATGCTTCAGGAATCAGGAGAATGCAGACTTCATTTATCTCCTTGTGTATCCAGTACTTCAGATGCTGTTCTAGAAGAGAATAATTCATCCGCTGTGTATAAAAACTGGTGGTTCTCCATTACACTTGATTTTCTTCCACTCCAGTCAGCTGCTTGAATACTATCCATTCCACTATCAACCTCAACCTCACTCAAACTTCAAGTTCCCGTCTTCTTCAAATTTCAAAATGAGTTCATCAGCACCTGAAACCAAGCATCTGCCAGCTTCCAATCGATAGCACCCATATCCGAATCATCTATGGTTCAGATTTCACCCGTTATTACAAGTTTTGTTCCAATTTTAGGCTTGCAACATCTGATAACACGCACCATTGTATGTTTCCCGAACCAAAACTATATAAATGCCAGTCTAATGGATGCACCAAGTGAGGATGTACCTGTTACTAGCAAATATAATTAGTGTTTTCTCATATATCACATTTCCCTTATCAGATTTTTTTAAATTCTACGATAATACCCGAAATGACATAGTCCTTCGCTAGTACAGCGCCGGTGCGGTACAGTAGATGACTATACCGACATCTATCAAGATAAATAGATAGATACGAGTAGATAGACAGAAAACCCCCAGCCCAACAGCCCAAGAGAAAGAGATAAGTACTCGAGTAAATGAGAGCTAACAAGCTAACAGCCCAACTTGACACATCCAATACATCTCATCCGATACATCTATACATCCATAGAGTCATAAAATCATCATACCAATACAGATAGATCCCAGATCGAAAATTATCAAAAATTTTCGTACTGTGATGTGATAATAATTGCAGACGATACCTGTGATGATACCGGTGCTGATACCGAGGATAACAGCGGCCCAGGGAGAAGGAGGAATAAACTCAGATGCGGGTGTGGTGTGGCGGCTACGAGCTGGAGATACTGCCTGAGCACCAGTTCTCCAGGGGAAAAAATGAATAAGTTACAAATAAACCATGAATTCATCAATCAGCCATCTTATCTCATCTCATCTCATTTAGGATCAGATCAATCTTTTTTTTTTTCAATTTCTATAGCTCTGACTCTGACTCTGACTCTGTCTCGCCCTGTCTGTCTGTACACTTCATCCGGAATCCTGAATCCTTATTCATCATCAACCTCATTCACTCACTCACCTATCAACAAATTATCTTCACCTCTTCACCAATCTTAAACCGTAATTCCCATCCGAGTACTCCGTATCGAGTTGTATATATCCAAACTAGGTAATTCGGCTGAAATTGACTTCCTAGTGGACCAGGTAGCCCAGATAATGATCACCGCTATACCTAGTAGTACCCATCGCTATCTTGTTTGTCTTCCGTCTAAACGTCGTACATACGGTTTCTTGCTTCGAGGGCACCTTTGATAGCTACTTGTGAATTAGCACCTATATGATAAATTCCTCATCATCCCCCCTCCCCCCTCCCACCCAATCCAGGAAGTATATGTAACAGGAAGAAAGAAAAACTTACCATCACAACTATCCTTAGCATCCCCAAACAGCATCCTCGTATTTGGCAAATAAAACATCGGATTAACCACATCTGCATACCCACTTGCCATACCTCTCTTCATCACAATGACCTGTTTACTCTTCCACGCATGTAAAACAGGCATGCCAGCAATACTAGAACCTGGCTCTAGCGCAATGGGATTGACAGTATCGTTTGCGCCGATAACGAGGGTTACGTCAGTTTCTCCAAAATCATCATTGATCTCGTCCATTTCAAGAACGATGTCGTATGGAACGCTAGCTTCTGCGAGAAGGACATTACATTGACCAGGCATGCGACCTGCAACAGGATGAATGGCGAAACGGACGTTAATGCCTTTACTCTTCAGCATGCGCGTAATGTCGCTGATAGCATATTGAGCTTTGGCGACTGCCATACCATATCCAACGACAATGATTACGTTTTCTGCGTTTTCTAGGGATTCCACGACCTCATCAATATTAGTTTTGGTGATTTGTCCCTCGATCTTATGCTCGGTCTCCGTGGCTGGGGTTATTCCTCCAAAAAGAACATTTCCGATAGAACGGTTCATCGCGACACACATAATGTATGACAGGATCGAACCACTAACTCCAATCAGAGACCCGATTGTTGTCAATAGCGGATTATCAAGCATGAAACCTTCGGCTACTAATGCAAATCCAGAATATGCATTCAGAACCGTGATGACAACCGGCATGTCTGCTCCACCAATGGCTGCGGTAGTTGTGTAACCTTTGATGAAGCTGAGGATTGCATTACCTGCCAAGCAGCATGCAGCAATTACCGGCGCGCCAGGTGCGAGAGTGAGGAAAGTCCCCATTGTGGCGATATTAAGACCAAGTAAGGAGGAATTGAGTGCATGTTTTGGACCTGGAAGCTTGATTGGTCTCGAAGACATTCGACCTGCAAGTTTGAGAAATGCTACAACAGATCCGGTAAATGTAACGCCACCTAACATAGGTCAGCTTTGAGGCAAAAATCCTCACAAGTGTTTGCTCACCAATCAGTACACCCAGGTAGCCTGCTACAAGATGGAGTGTTGATATGTCACCAATATCTGCCATGACTGATCCGGAACTTGTCAAAACAGCGGCAAGACCAACCACTGAGTGCAGTGCGGCCACAGTCTGAGGTAGATCAGTTGCTGTTGTACGACGCCCAATTCTCAAGCCTAACAGGAAATCAGTCAGTTGATTCGCCCCTATTATCTAAGTGAGATGGAATTCATTACCAATAATAGCCCCACAGCCAGCAACGGCCGCAAATTGTGCAAGAACTTCGAGAGGAAATCCAGCCGCAGCCAAAGATGCAAGAATTCCCACACCAACTCCTAAAATGCCAAGGATATTCCCTTGACGTGCTGTCGTCTGAGAGGCAAGGCCAGATAAAGATGCTATTTGAGTTAGGGATTGTTTCAATGAGAGATCTAAAGGGATAATTACCAATGCACAAGAGACTACTAGCAAGGTATCCTGCTTGAACAAGCCCAGCCATACCAGTAGATGCAGCGGCTATATAACCTCCACTAAAGATAACAGCAGGTATTGCATACAACAATGGGTATTCAGTAGGATCAGTCGGTCCTACAAGAAGTTAGACAGTGCTATTCGAGAAATGGTTAGGATACATACGCTTAAACATATCTAACATTCGCTTCGTAATTACAAAACCACCGGAAACATTGACAAATGCTAGCATTACAGATAAAGCGCCCAGAGCTTGAGGAATAGTATGGGGTACAAGACCTCCTCCCATAATAAAGAAACCACCTACACCAACCATTCCCGAGATTGCATTCGTGACACTCATGAGTGGAGAATGAAGTGCAGGGCTGACGCCCCACACTACTCGGTAACCGATCAGTCCAGCCAACGCAAATGTAAAGACATTGCTCATAAACAAAGGTCCTGTTGCTTTACCAAGGATAAGTGCAAGACCCATCCCACCAGTGATGAAACCAACTTCTCGTGATTGCTTTTGCCATGGTGTTAAGGCGACTATGTTCACGGCTGAAGCATTAGCATTAATAGCTGAAGCAGCTTTAGGCACTGGAGGTGCTGGTCGTGGTGCTGTGGGTATAATTTCCCCGTTGTGAGTCACGATAGAACCACGAACAACTTCATCCTTGAGATCAATGCCGAATTGCTTATCCTCGGGGGCAATAGAAAGCAGAAATTTGGTGATATTGTTCGAGTATAAAGTAGACGATTGAGTTGGGAGGCGAGAAGGAAGATCAGTATATCCTATAAAGAAGTTAGTCCCCCGCACAGTACATCAAATTGAATGACAAACCTATGACCTTTACCCCCTTGTGTTCAATTAATTGACCAGCAACTGTAACATCACAATTTCCACCTGCTTCGGCTGCCAAATCGACAATGACAGAGCCAGGTTTCATTGCTGCAACCATCTTTAAAAATAGTCAGATCATGTCTAGCAGTTATATCGATGACGACTTACATCTTCATGAATCAAGCGAGGGGCAGGGCGACCTGGGATCAGTGCAGTGCAAATTACAATATCAACCTCGCGGCATTGTTCCATAAATAATTTCTTTTCGGCCTCGATGAATTCTTTCGACATCTCTTTGCCGTAACCACCGGCGCCAGATCCATCTTCTTTGAAATCTACCTCGATAAAATCGGCACCTAGTGATTGGACTTGCTCGCGTGCAGCTGATCTGGTGTCAAACCCTCGTACGATCGCTCCCATGCGTCGAGCCTAATTAGGAGAGCCGTTAACATTCCACTCACAAATAAAAATCCAATACTTACTGTTGCAATGGCACTTAAGCCAGCCACACCTGCTCCGATGACAAGTACTTTACAAGGAGGGACCTAGACATATTAGCGACGGAAGCTAAAAAGGGATATGGGACAATAACGCAGATACCTTTCTAGAAGTCACTTGGTTAGTGAAGCGACCTAGTGGCATGGGGGCATTTACTTACCCAGCAGCAGTGACTTGTCCCGTCATGTAACGCCCGAAATGATTCGAAGCCTCTAGGACTGCCTTATAACCGGCAATGTTAGCCATAGAGCTAATCACGAAATTGTGTGAGCGTTTCTTCTTCATAAATGCGACATCGAAGCCATCCATACCTCAATGCGTCAAAAACTTGAGCTCTCGAAATTCTAGGAATCATATCCATCGCAAAGGCAGTAACCCCTCTATTAGACAATTTTTCCACCACATTATTGTTCACTGCCGGGTACAAGAACGAAATAATTGTTGCATTGTTCTTCAAAGAATCGACTTCGTTATTAGGCCCCTCCACAGTCGGTGCGCGAACTTTCAGGAGAATATCACTCTCAGACCAAACATTATTCCGGTTCACTATCTTGGCCCCCGCAGTCTCGTATGCTTCATCCGTGAATTGTGCTTCTGCTCCAGCACCTCGCTCGACAAGCACTCGGGAGAACCCTTTTTTAATCAACAGCTGTGCATTCTGTGGAGTAACCGCAACTCGTTTTTCGTTCGGGTACGTCTCGCGAGCTATGCCGATTGTTAAGTTCGAGTACGGAGTGGTAATTAGATCCGGGACAACGGCATTGGAGGAAGCTGTTGAAAGAGATGCGGTATTCGGTGCGGCAGGTGTAGGAGGGGTAGCAGTTGTCGATGTATATCTCTTGTACTTGGTATGACTTGTTGGATAAAGTGATCGTACGTGAGAAGCTATCAGAAAGACATATTAGTCTCAATTGGGTAGTTGATGGACGAGATCATGAGCTAGATGGAACGCACCAAGAATGCCACCAAACGTCAGACCTGGCGATAGTTTGACTTCTGAATAAGTATTGACACGACACACTCTGAGGATCGGCTTCATTGTTGAAGGCCAGGTCATCTTTTAGACCCACATCTGTAACTGTTGATGTTGTTTTATGAAAAGGAAAAGGGGGTTGGTATGTTGTATCTAGGGAAATGGAGTATTGTACTCGTAGGGGAGCAGTAGAAAGGTTGGTTCAAGAGGATGCGATATTGTAGGTTTGCATAAACCAATGTTGGATCATCTGCCACAATCTTTTTACCGTATTATACCATTTCCAGGTGAATGGAAAGAGCGTTGGGTGAATAGATAGTATTGATACTGTACTGATTGATTGTATCATATATGAGACGGAAGAAGAGTGCAACGTTGTCGTGCTAGAATGGTTATACATACATTGACTGTTACCTACCTACTTACATGGCCTTTCTCATAAACAGGCTGATCTGTTGGATATTCTTGAATTTCGTTTGACGATTCAATGAAATTCATACGTGACCCTTCTTTGCTTCTTAGGCAATTTAGCTACCCGCCTAGGCTTAGATTGAATATCGGCCGTTGCTATTCCTAGCCATTATTCCTAGCTAAGGTTATCCCCCGCAATGGATCCCATTTCCCCGCATTCCTTTCAATCAATTGGTTTATTGATTGTCCGAAGAAAAGGAGAAGGCCGCCTTTGGTTGGTGATACAAGAGAAGAAAATGAATAGTCAAAATCTTGGAACTTTGCGAAATGAACAGGAAATGAAATCATCCGACCAACTCTGAGATATGATGAAACTGTCACGATACACGTTGGTTTTGCTTTTACTGGAGGCTTGAAGGTCCGATTGATGATGCAGTGAGATGCAAGCCTCAATGCTTGTGATGCTGTGCAACAGAATGGAATCTTCTGTGCACAAGCCAACCCGACTCACATCAATTCACGTGATAAATTAGAACTCATTTCCTCCTACGAATTCTCGAATTGGTCCATCAAAATAGCCCTTTTATACTACGCTACATGAATTATATCCTCGTAAATACGTAAATACCCTAAATATTCCAATAATTCTCAATCCAACTCACAATGTCTCGTCACATGATCTGAGGTTATGATATATTTGCTTCGAAAAAAGGCGCGATCGCGTGAGATTTCCTGAATGTGGTTCATCATTCTCTTCTCATTCTCACCTCTGAATCCCAAAGTCTAGCATCCTCCAATACCATTAAGCTTCTAGACAACAGTGTCACACTTTCATCATTGGCAGCTTTGGCAGTTTTCTGAATCATATCCTCATCGATGGCTTTGTTGGTACGGTCGGTATTGTTGAAGGCTTTGGCATCCTTCAGCTAACTTTGCAGGGACTCGATCAGCTTCGAAGAGGGTTTGTAGGTTGCCTTGAGGGTAGCTGAAGCTTGTTGCGTGGTCTCTAGGTCTTGCAATGTTGTGTTGACCTCTGCAGTAGAGGCTGCAATTTTCCTACCTTGTTTCTCTAAAGTTGCCTTTCTTTGTGCTAATTGTAAGTTTTGCTTATCGAAGAGCTTTTTCCCGTTTTGCTTTAAGTTCTGGAGCTCTGTAGCGGCCTTTTCAGCCTTTGCTGTAGTCTTCTCTAGTTTGGAAGTCATTTCCGCCAATTCTTTTCCTGTTTTTTGCCTCGGTTTCTTCCATTGAGCGTCGAAGCCTCATGTTTTCGTCCTTCGAATGGCTTAACTCGGCCTCCAGAATCTCTGCTGATTGAAGAAGCTTGCTGATTTTCTTGTCTTTCTCGTTCACTTGGGTATCATGAGTTTGCTTGTCCTTCGTCGGCATGGAGAATGAAAACAATGTCTGACTCCAGGAGAGATGTGAAAGTGTTTTTGTGTCGTTAATATGGATATAAGCCTTCTTTATATGCACTTAATATTATAGATATCCCGCTGTCATCCTTTCAACTAAGACTAGATCTCTCTTGACCCTTTTTCAACAATAATATTGTTAGACTCGTATTTTGAATGTTCAACTACGATAGTTCTATTGCCTTTTTCAAACAACGATATTCAGTGTTCCTATCTCAGTAATATAATATATATAAGCTTCCTTTATTCATGCTCATTCTCATCATATACTATTCTCGGCCCATTATTCAAATTAGACCTCTGAGCCTCTCTAAATCTCTCCCCATCGAGGATCGTTCATTCTGGAGTAGGTATTCGGATCTCAGTCATACGGCAGATATCCCTTCTCTACTTGCATTAAAGAGTGTCGGAAATCATCGAATCTAGTCCCCAGAACTTATCACAGCGTACTGTCGCGCCAAGATTCTTATATAGATAGAGCATTCTACCAGACACTGCATAATCATAATCATGTTCTTGAACGAATAGACTTTATTAAGAATACTACTTAGTAATATATAAGCACAAGATGGCAGATCGATATCGTATCTAGTTTATCAAATCTGCAAGTAAAAAAGATCGCTTTACAGACAAGATAGTACTCGTGTAGAAGAAACTACTAGTAGTGAAAGGCTCGGGAATGATATCCCTGTTTCAATATACGAAATAATGAATTTGCAAAACGGGATAGCATTACAGCTTGAAAACAAATAATCTAAAAAGGGGATAAATGGATATCCAAAACAAAAGACAAAACAGTCAAGAATCACGTGTCTTTCAACTACACTATGGCAAAAAGAACTAAGTTTTAAATTCCAGAAGATAGGAATGGAAAAACGAGGAAATGTAGCCTGAGGACTGGCAGAAATGGGTTCCTGCCAACAAAATCGAACAAATCGGTTGAAAATGTATAAGGTTTTTAAGTTTGTACTCGTAGATTCGTGGAGTTAGGAGATAATATAACTACTTTATAATACCGGTACTATTAATTGAAGTATTATACCAAAGTAACCATTGGCGATCATGAGCCATGATGTGTTTTCATAATTATATTTATGTTGTATTGAATGTTGATTGTTAATTGCGTTACTTGTAACTGAGACAATCCGAAACCTCACTTTGACTCGGAAGCGCAAGGGCTACAGTGCCACTGTGCCGGTATGTGAGTGCGATTTACCTGGCACTATACAATAGTATCGCAATGGATACTCGAGTACCATATCTACAGAGAATAATGTTATTGTGGTTTCTTTTCTTCTCTTCTCGATTCGATTCGAATTTTATTTTCTTTTGAATCATAATTTTGGGAATGATATTCCGGTACGCGACGTGCTCTAAACTCTTCCCTCTGTAGATTCCTTCGTTCATTCGTTCAAGCTTAGAATCTCAGATAATAATCTTATAATGAAGAAAGCATCTCCGAGTCAAACTGAAACTGCTTATTCGACCTCTTGAAGATTGATCAGATGTTTTGAGATTTTTCACATAAAAGGATCGATATTCTTTTGATAGATGTTTTGAATACCTGTAATCTAATTATTAGGAATGCAAAAAGAGAAACTTCAAATTAGTTCTCATATCGCTGCTTCAATACTCGTAGAGCATATAGGGATACGAGGATACTTATAATAAATCATTAAATTATAATCAAACAAAATAACTAAACCAGAGCAGGAAGATGGAAAAGGATAAGAAGATATTTTCAGAACTTATATGAGTATAAGATAAAATAGATATCACGGAACATATCATGCTAGCCAGGCTAGGTTGAGCTAGATATGAAAATAATAAAAATAGTAAATGAATAGGGGCAGGGGCTGCTATTATTAGCGAAAATGCTGATTTTTCAGTATTTTTATTTTACTACTCGAGTAATCAGGATATAATAACATATGGAATCCTTTTCTTGATTAGTGTAAGCAAGGATTGTAAATTGATGTTATTTGATTAGTAGAGAATAAGGTGTTGTTTCGTTACTATTTATTGATCGGAGTGTTTGAGAACTTGAGCACTTGAGTACTTGAGAATCAATTTTTCAAATTGATATGGATTCAAAAAGAAAAGAAATATTCAGATTCACAAATATCTATGTTGTTTAATTTTTATCTGGTTAATCTAAAAGAGGCGGTTTTAGTTATAGTTTCAGGGTTTTTCTTTGTGTATCTCTCAGATACGGGACCAAGTGGAGCAGTTCGACGGGACACTAAATAGAAAATGTATAAGAGTGACATACCGAAAAGTTATTATTACTGATCTCATCTCATACCGGAACATTTCGCTATGTATGAGATGATCGACAATGTTGATCAAATCACAGAACCTGAATTCATTTGGTCTAAGTGGTGACCTAAATTTAAATGTAGAAGCCTCAGTCTAGAGACCGAAAACCTATATATTGGTTTCTGTGTATGGATTTAACATGAAGAAGTGCACTGTGCAGGTAATTTTCGGATAGTATGTACCAAAAATTCATACATTTATGCTTCCAGAATACGAAGGAAGTCCGCTAATAAGTAACTTATATATAGAGTATATATATACTCGAGTACGTACTTGCTAAAGTGCTTACAACAAACTTAATTAAACAGTCATTATAGCAAAGCCCCACAAACGCCCTTCAACAGTAACAAACAAAAAAGACTCACCTTGGAGAAAACACTATGTTATCTAATACATGCTTGCTATTCATCGAATAAATAGTTTCCACTAGCCACTTCAAGCTTGACGTTTCCAGTGGAATCAAAGTGTAAAGCATAGTAGACAAGAGAAGTTTTGTAGAAACAGACAGAGATGTGACTGTATTCTAACTAGTGGACAAAAAAATAGTAGAGACATGACAACCAAGGAGAATATTATACAGTATATATTTCAATTTTCGGAACTTATGATAGCAAATAGCGTGACTATCGCAGTAAGACAATACAGCTGAGACAATACTTTAGTACCCAAGCCACTCTACCCTTAACACTCGAAAGTTACGCAGGTATTCACAGAGATAGTAAAGGAAACAGCAATAACGAAAAGATGTAAAATAGAGATAGAGATAGAAAACTAGAGAAACCCGCAACTCTCTCTCTCTCGGAAGCAAACTTACATTTCTATCATCTACACGTTTGCACCACTACCTGGCTTACCCGACCGAGCATTTTTATCCAAATCCTTTGGCTTCAACTTAAGCTTACCAGGATTAGCTGACGTCCTCAGTGCAGTCTTTGAACTTTTTCTAGGAGGCGGCCTCTGATTCTCACTACTGGAAGTAGATCTCTGGGATTCGGGAGAATCTGGAGGCCGAGAACTAAGGGAATCGGCTCGTTTTCTAGAGATTTTTGTTGTTGTGATGGCTGATTCTTTGCCTTTATTTGCGTCCTCGGGTTTCTTTCCTTCCCTATTTCGCGGTGAATCTGATGTACGTGGATCTTCTGCTTTATCACTTTCCTTTCGGCGATTGCTGGGGCGAGTTGGCTTTGGTAATTCCCGGGTGGGTATTTCGGGACTCGAACTCGGTATTGGTTCCCGCGGCTCCCGCCTTGGACGAGATCTTCGTCTTTGATGGCTGCCCGCTGATTCATTGGTGGGATCTTTCGAGGATGTAGCTGTAGCGCGTAGAGCATTTAGCTGTTGAGGGGCTTGCTCGCTAATAGATTTATTTTCTTTTCTGCTGGGTAGAGGAGGTTTCGCAGCTGCACTTGCTCTTCTATCTCTACTCTCAGTTCTTCGAGTTCTTCTATCCCCACTATCAGTACCTCTATCCCTAGTTTCAGCCCTTCCTACCCCCGCGCCCCCAACTCTCTCATCCCCCGTTCCCGTCTCGCTAGTTGATGTACGTGCATAATCCGAACCCGTTGGATTATTCTTGATCTGACGAAACGCAGTTTTCAGTACATCAGCATCGCAATCCAAACCCGCATCTTTGTATTCATCCCAGGTTTTCAGATCCGGACTCCACAATCCTACCAGCTTGGCGTTTTTCATATCTCGTGACCGAGTAGGTTTTTTCATAATCCACACTCTCATGAGTGTTGATACACACGTAAGTGCATACAAAAAAGGAATTTCTTTGTTCTCCTCTAACCACTCGCGACAATATTCTCCTACTTGCTTCTCCAGCGCCTTCATTCTGCCTTTTGTCATATCTTCCTTGTCTTCTGGATGTCTCTTTGCTTCAATCATCATTAATCCCGTTTCCAGAAAATGTACATTGGTATAAGCCAGAAAATCATCCACTTGGTGTTCTGGACCGTGTTTTGGGACAACCCCTTTTTGCGATTTCGTTACAAAACGCTTTTCTGGAAATTGAGCTGCAATAAATTGCTCAACAAACCCTACTGTCGCAGATTCTTTGGACCGATTTCCTTTGATATCATAAGTTGCTGCTGCTTCTAGGTAATTGCGCTCGAGGCGATGACCGATGAGTCCATGATGTATCCATGTTCTTTTATTCACGTGCTTTTCCCAAGCTTCCAACGCATTCTTGTACGTTGTCTTCTTGTCTCTATCTTGGAGAGCAGGGCGAATTTCTTCTTCGTACCAATTCACTAGTTGTCTTCTAGCCTTTTTCTGTGTCTCTCTTTCTGTAACATCTCCATTTGGTATTGAAGATGGTGCCGTGTTAGACATTATTGCTAGTAACTAAATATCAGACTATGGCACAAGCAAGAATTAGTAACCTTTGCCAACAAGTGGAATCCATATTGAATATTTGAACGTACAATATACTAGGACTCTGTCCAACTAAAAGTTTTCGACTCCTAACTTTCTATAACAACGGAAAGTTGAATGATTCAGAGACTAAAGTACTTCTTCAATACTTCTTCGCAGCAAAGAACTTAATCAAGATCGTTACCTCCGTCCACCTCTTTATACTACACTTTCAATTCTCTCTATGAATTACATACATACATATGTGGCCGACATGTATGACCATATTCCGGGTACGAGACCCAATACTACTTCTAGAAGCCTTGAGCCCCATCCCAGTATCTGAAGTCTCTTTCCAGGCTAGAGAAATCCACTCTACAGGCCACCAAAACCAACATCAAAATACTTTAGAATCCAACCTAATTTAGTAAAATGATGTCTCCTAATGTAAAAAACCCCCTGGCCGAGGTTAAGGTCGACCTTTCGTAAAGAGAATTCCTTAACCATAACCAGATATTAATATAACTAATTGTATTAAAGGCTAGGATTGGTTATTCTGACCATAAAACCACCATCCGGTTGCTACTAAATCCAAGGATACCCAAGGAAGCCTACGGCTATGCTCATTGTTCTAGATCTGTGCAAAAATCATCAATCGGGGACAACAGCGGGCCGGACCTCCAACATGCGGCCGGACCGAATAACTTCACTGTTGACATGGCTCACACATTGGGTCTTGCAAGCAAGCTTGGACGTTTCGTTGGAGAAAGCGAGATATAGCTTTTTGTAAAGTGGTTTGGCAATTGCAGGAGTGAAAAGAAAGAGTTGAACGAGAGGATAGACGTTTGAAAAAATGAAAAATGAAAAAGGACGCATGAGCATAGCTAGACACTTTTTCTTGCATTATCAATAGATCTTTTGGTCTCTAGGACTATAAATTATACAAATATTCTTTCTCTGAAGAAGGTTTAAAAATGACTGATAGAGGTCGTGCTTTAAGCATAAATATTCCCTCGCTTCGTGCAACAATAATCATTAACATCCTAGCTACATCTAGCATCGCCCACTATAGCGCGCTCAAATGTATCCAACCACCCCATTCTCCTTATCCCGTGAAACTCGAATTAAACCTCAAAATTGGTCCCAACCACGTATCATAATCCTCAATCTTCCCTACTTCCCCACCCCACCTCAATACACTTGCAAAAAATCGATAATCACCATCTGCCACATTATAGCTCACCCGGTCATCACCAGTCACTTGTGCACTCGTCCAATACTCTATTTAATGGATCTGGCGTGGAAGGCCGCTCCGTTCCAACCGCAAGGGACATGCTGATATATCAACGCCGTCACTTTGTGCTTTCAGCATTCCGGCCATAATTGTGTCACTACCGCCTGCGTCTGCGCAATCAAAAGTACGGTACATATAAAGACTAGCTTCAGTATCGGATCCATTCCGATAATGCCTACTAAAGGTTAAATCACCTTCAGATGGCGAGTGGGAATGATTGTTCTAACCTGACACGTGGGTTCCGTGTCCTCCAGCGAGACATGTGGATAGAAGGGATCTGGAGCGTTCATTAAGATTCCGTTATCGTTAACAAACGAGTATCCACCAGCTATTTTGAAACCTGGTCCAAATCCTCCACCCAGTGCAGGGTGTCGATAATCCACCCCAGTATCTATGATTCCAATCTTAATCCCTTTACCTTTGATCCCCTTAGCATGTAACTTGTCGACACCACCCATCTCGAGAGCCGAGGTCAATCCTTTTGTTCGGGTATCTGTTGACTGTCTTTTATGTAAGGAAGGAACATCTATATTAGAACTATCCGAGTCCGTAAGGTTCGAAAATATAACAGGTCGAGGTATTTCGTAAACTGGCCAGACACCTACAACTCCAGGGATATCCAGAAGCTGTCGTTGCAATTCCCTATCGCTGCCACTTTGTGTGACTGATATCGAAAGCCCATGAAATGCTGTAGAATCGAATTCGTGGCGGATGTCGTAGCTGATTGATGCAGCACGCTTATAAAAGACGTTGCGGAGATCTCGTTGGGATAGAGAGCTGCTAATTCCATCTCCAATGATAAATGCCTTATCAGCATTGTTGACATTTGAATATAACGTAATATCATCTGTATTTCTGCGCCTCAAGTCACTATATGATATAGTAACTCCATATACGGCAACAGCAAACGCCAGTAACGAATAAGAAACAAGCATTTTTCCCGTTCTTCAGATGTGTCCAGATATGTGCAGCGGTGTCCTACTGTACGACCGAGAAGTGGCAAAGAGAACGGCTTTATACTCAAATTTCTCTTGACCGCTCTCGACAATGGTCTCTCGCGATGTCGGAATAAAGGCTACAACGGTTCACACCGGCTGGATTCCTCTTGATTTGCAAGACCGAGGTCTGCCCCTTGGACTTTAGATAAATACCACTAGCTCCTTCACTGAAGCCCACGCAATATAACTAAAATGGAGGTTGAGAAAGTCTGTTTATGGATCGGAGAGGCTCAACACCACCGCCTTAATGTGAGATGATTGGACAGAATGCATGTTGGAAGCCAAAAATCGACGCTCGCTGGTAATTGAACAAGTTGCCGTCTCGGCTAGCGTTACGTTCGTCTACACATCGATGAAAGTGATTATACGTAGGATTCCATGCATATGAGCTGAGAATACAGGATAGCTTGCCTGGGTCTAGACTGTGAATAGTTAGAGCATCAAAAGCTTTACAAGCATAAGAGTGGAGAGGATGGTATATGTGATTAAGCTTTTTCTACACAATGGATAAATCCTTCCTAAAGGTGTACGAGACCCCGTCAAAAACTCCTTGCAAGTTGTTGCTTTGGAATATTCCCGACATATCTTAGATAATAATCACAAACGTTGACCAGACCAGTCGCATCATATCGGTGTAATGCTAAGTATCCTCAATTGAGGCAGGGATCTTGATTGAAAAAATGGGACCGATTTGATTAATCGTCTCCCGTCCACTGGGACACGGACAAGCAATATGCATCTAACAGTCGAAAGAGAAGGTGCCATATACACCGCCGAACGTTGTTACACAACAGGCAGCGTGCATTATCTATGTTACTATAGATTGGTTGCAATATTCCATACTTATGACTTCTTAATTCAGAAGCCGTGACATAGACAAGGTATCTGTTTGCTAACAATCAGAAATTGAGACGTCTATTTGGTAGATGATGCTAGCTGGTAAGAATGTTCGAGAATAGTATGGCCAAAGAGATGATTGACTAGATTTTCAGCCCTCGCAAGCAATGGAGAAGTCGATTCTAAGGCATACCATGTCAGAATTAGACTGAATGTCGAAAGTAGGAGTAGCTTCGACTTCGACCATTGATCACGTGGTCTCCAAATGTTCTGGCAGAACTTTGGAGGTGCGATATGGTTGGGATCGAAGGATCCGTAATGACAGAAGTCTTCAGGCGTTGTAAACAATCTTTGCCGTTGAAAAGGTAGTCTAACGTTCTGCATAGTCCGCATGTGATTATTGATTTAGAGGCGTTCTTTATACCGGGCACAAGGCTTGTATCGATCCCCTGAATTCTCGTTTGGCCTTGTCGAGCTCGGATAAAGCCGGGCCACAGGGTTGCATGAACACTGCAGATCGACTTTCGCTTTTCTCTGTTCTCGGCATGCAGCACGTTTTGACACTCGGCGATTCTTGGACTTTTTCAACATCGAAGATAATCTAAAACAGTCTACAATGTCAGTTTACCATCATACATTGTTAGCATGTAGGTCGATCCGATGTTTATTGATCTGGCCCATCCATCGTAGCATGTGTAGAAGCGGTTCCAAGAAGGTTCGTGATGAGAATTAGCGCCGATGATAGAGTCAAGCGATGATAGAGTCAAGCGATGATAGAGTCAAGCGATGATAGAGTCAAGCGATGATAGAGTCAAGCGATGATAGAGTCAAGCGATGATAGAGTCAAGCGATGATAGAGTCAAGGTCAGTCTAATATATTATGGATGCAGATTCAGGGACAGATTTATTAATTTGTAGCTCGGCTTCCTAATTGTGTTACCAGTACATGTCGGCATCCATTCCGAGCTAGGCGGGGCTTTCTAAACGTACCTGCAGCTGTTCTCGTACTAATGAACAGCCCCGCTTTGGTGGACGTCTGAGTTCATTGCACATGTTTATCAGAAATTCCGAATTTTAAGGTAATATAGCAATATGTCAAATATAATTGCTTACAGGCAATGTTTGGAGAGCCCTCGGAAAGCATTGATTGTAGCCATGCCCGAAGAGCTGCAATACTGTTGATGTCTCGTTAATTGTTATGTCATAGAATGATAATACGACATCTCATTGGGAAAAAAGTCACGATGTGATTGTTGGACCCTCTCGGTTTTTAAGACCCAGGATAGTAGGAGATTCTGGGTCCAACCATTAGAATACTAGCGTATTGCATATCCGGCAAATCTTTTGTGATATATGTCTTTCTAAAAATGTTAGTGTAATTGGGTTTGTGGAAAATCATCGAATCCTTTTGGAGAGGATGGTAGGCTTTTGACGGAATGATATATATCGAAGCTGTATTGATGGCCTTGTGATTGACAGATATTTCTGTTCTTCAACGAGTTTTCTTGCCGTTGATCGATGGCTGCAAAGACGCACTCTTCGCTTCCCACTTCTCCCACCCAGCCTGGCATAAATCTTCCTCCACGACTAAATCCCGCATTCTGAATAATCTCGTCACCGGTAAATCCAAGATCCACGCAAGCAAGCCCGACTTCCTTACAATAGTGGTCAATAAAAACCATGAAATAGCACTCCCTGCTCCAGCAGCACAACCAACCATTACCTGTTTCGGCGTGTGATAGTTCAGATATATTCTGCTCCAAGCTACCAACGCGGCGTTGATCAAAATTAGCCCAGATAAACCAATCCGCGCTGCGATACTCAATGGCGTGTGCGAAGTTGTTGGCCTTTTTGGGACATGTCGAAGTAGCAAGAATAACGTTAAGCTTATCGAGAAGAAAGCCACAAATTGAGAATGGGAGGATGGCATTCCATAACCTTTGCCATGCATTTGTTTAGGTCGTTCCTCTTTCAGTATACGTTTCAAAGCAAAGTTTAACGCTTCACAAGCCATTTGTCCACCAAACATCATGAGAATCTCGATTTCGCGTGTCGACCAAATGAGGGTTGCATATACAACACAGAGCCCTTGGGGTACGAGGGCGAGCCATGCGCAAAAGTAGGAGACGGGATCGTTAGGATCCTGAAGAGAATTAGCATAATCCGAATTGGAAATAAGAAAACGGACATACATAATGTACATGCGTCAAGGAAAGTGACGCCAATGGGATATCTGCCATCTTCTTAATTTGGCTCGTTGGGTAGTTTGGAGAGATCCCCTTGTAACGAATCTTTTAATAGTTCACGTCCAAAAATTCGTTACTGGAGGAATGTAATGAGTCGAACTTGTTACCGCATTTCTATGCTGGTACCTTAATGTGCGCTACTTACTTGTATCTCCAATCTTTGGAAACTTGTCGGTGACCATTTTGGCGGATCTATCGGAAAATCATTAAAGCGGCTCATTGTTTTATCCTAAAGCAGCTCTCTAAAATAGTTCCGGCTTCTTCTGTCTCCCTTCCAAATATTCTATTCTACCTACATATCCGCCACCGTGAGAAATTATTTATTGACATTCACCAAACTTTCACAAGTTGTAAAGACTGAATGTCTCGGTTGTTTTGCTCACATTTATGACCTTGGTGGTCGAATCACTTCTATTTCTTGAAGCAGAAGTTGTTCCCTTATCGACCTTCTTCCACCAGTCGTCCTTCTATCTTCCATCAAGATCAAGATGGAGGATCAGCGTACAGAAGAGTTTGAATGCGTCGCCGCCATCTTCCCGGAAATCGAATTCAATCCCACTGATCAGTTTCGCGCATCTATCGAATTATCCGTTAATCCTCGAACACCGGTCACAGTCGCATTTCCAACTGCCTTTGATGGTGTTCTGAACTTCCCTACTCCACCACTGTCTACTAATTCTGGCAACGAGGAGGGTGACGACGCTATTTACAATCCTCAAGCTAACAATACCGAATCGTATGAACTTACCTACCTGCCTTCGTTACAACTCCATATTTCTTTGCCAGAAGGATACCCAGAAACCGAACCGCCGAAGTTTGAACTGTCCACAAACCCAGCATGGCTTCCCCGAGCCCGCCTTGATAAACTTGAGGCCGACGGAGTTCGCATGTGGGAGGAAAGTGGACATGATTTGGTGGTCTTCGCATACATTGATTCTCTTCAACAAGGAGCTGAAAATGCGTTTGGTTATGGAGAGGAAGGTAAAATGTTAGAAATTTCGCAAGATGATAAGATCTCTCTGCTCGATTTTGACATCAAAGCTATACAAGCCGCCTTCAATAAGGGAACTTATGATTGCGGCGTCTGCCTTAGTAGTGTTCTCCTGCTCCTCGTTACCTTTCCTTGCTAACTTAATTTTAGATCCGAAGAAGGGTTTCGCGTGCCACAAAATGATCGACTGCGGACATGTCTTTTGCATTGAATGTTTGCAAGATTTTTACAATAACGCAATCAAAGAGGGTGATCTTATATCAGTTCGTTGTCTGGCCCCGAACTGCGCAAAGGAGCGAGCCGTAAAATCTACCAAAAAGACTCGAAAGCCGAAAACTCAATTGAGTCCCAGCGAACTCCTCCAAATACCCCTTGAGCATGATGTCGTCACACGCTTTGTGAAACTTAAGCATAAAGCTCAGTTAGAATCCGATAAGAATACTGTGTACTGCCCACGCGCTTGGTGTAATGGGGCCGCTAGGTCAAAGAAATATCGCAAGCCAGAAGGTCTCGAAGATGACGAAAGTTCAGATGATGAATCCGATACGGAGGCGAAAGGGAAGGATAAGGGGTTTGTTGCGGGGGCGGACCTCATTGCGATCTGCGAGGACTGTTCTTATGCATTCTGCAGTCGATGTTTACAGGGATGGCATGGAGAATTTAAAGCTTGTGCTCCAAAGAGAGAGAAAGAAGAGCTTTCTGAAGAGGAAAAAGCTTCGCTGGAGTACATGCAACTTCACACTACACCTTGTCCTACATGTGCAGCTCCAGTACAGAAGACGCATGGATGTAACCATATGATCTGCTTCAGATGCAATTCTCATTTCTGCTATCTTTGTTCGGCTTGGCTGGAACCAGCGAATCCTTACAAGCATTTCAATCAAGAAACCACAGGATGCTTTCAACGACTTTGGGAGCTTGAAGCTGGTGATGGTGACGATGTTGGACGCGGTTTTGATGGTGGAGTGCAGCTGGAGCCAGCTGTTGAGATTCTTGAGGAAGAAGAAATAGTGGTACCCGAGGTGGAAGAACCAGAGCCGGAAATTCCAGAGCCCGAAGAAGAAATAGAGCAAGGCGAACGACAGGAAGTAGAACGACAAGCTCCTCTAGTTCTGCGCTTAAATCAGCTTCGCCCAGCTGCACAACCTATACCAGCTGTTCCCGATGCTCCACAAGCCCCTCATGGCCTTGCCAATCGAGGACATCGACAGAATCAAGGTCGTGGTAACGGAGCTCCTCGTGGTCGCTTCGGCGGTTTGAATCGACGGGAAGTCCCACGCCAAGCAGCTGGCATCGGTCGAGGCCGAGGTGACATCAATTTCGATCTCGACGACCAACATGCAGCAAATCAGGCTTGGGTCCAGAGATTTGTCCAAATGGCATTGGATGACGAAGAAGATCAATTAGAATGGGATGATGATGATGAAGAGAATCATGCCGCCTGGGAAATACCAGTTCGATGATACTCGAGTAGCTATGATGAATATTAATATGATAAAACGTGGACCATGATGGCGTTGAGGGTATAAACTGCATAGTCAGTGGCGTTACATAGGTTGTCTTTTTGGACCGAGGGTTATCGTGCGGTTTTAAATACGGACGAGGGTGGTTCTTGAAGGGGTACGAATTTCTAATTGATCAGGTTCAAGTTGTTTCATCCAGCAAGTATTTTTATCTAGTAATCAAACTTTTTACTAGAAGAATTCTATCTTAATTTATACCAACCTCTTCCCTTCCTGTGCATGATATATATATCATCTCCAAAATCGAAGATTTGACCGTAGCGTAGCTGGGACCAATACATTCATTCATACATCAATCTTCCTATTCATATTCCGATTTGAACGAAAGATAAGGTATAAATCATCTAATTCGATTTTTTTAACGTTTGGATATAATGTGCCAATTCGTTCGCTTATTACTCTACATTCACACATAATAACATGTTGACGCGCCGGTGAGCTTTGATTTAATTTGATTAAAATCCTATGAATATATTATCAAAGCTTGAAGTCGGAGTCAATATCCAAAGCATTGGCACAGCAACATTTTCATTGATGTTTGACATTTAAATGTTGATGTTCAAGTGATGAAATACTAGTATCTGGCTAGATATCCGCCAACTACCGCCGTACGGACTGCATAGTTATCGATGACATCATGAATCAAGGTAGAGGGACCGACATTCTTTGGAATGTGTATTGTTGAAAATGGTGAGTAAATCAATTGAAATCAATCTTTGATAATATACTTGTCAGAGGTGTATGTAGATTATATTCAGGTACAGAATCTAAGCTATGTTCTTGAGCGTATAAGTAAACAAGATGTACGCTAGTAGTGAATACAGAAGAGGGGCAGTGCCGTGATACCCGTAGTACCCATGACTTTCTAACAATACTACTTACTTACACATAGTACCTATATAGTGTGTTATTTCTATACTTTTCCATAACACATCACCTCTCACTTTCACAATACTCGTACAACCCAATCGAATCCCCCATCTCCCTCAGATCAATCACCTCAAAATGTCCACCAACCCCTCACCCCAAACCCACACCCACACCCTCGCCACCGCCCACGAACCTCATCCAGATCCCGTTGCCCTCACTTCTTCCAACCCCAACACCTCAGAATTAAACTACACCCCCAACCCCTCCCTCTCCATCCCCCTCTCTCCTTCCCGCCAACAAATCCTCAACAGTATCACAGCACTCTACAGCGGAAGTTGTGTTGCGGATGGCACGGGGGAACAGGATATGCTTGTTTATGCTAGGGAGGCTATCTATGATGATCCGTGGAGTTATTGCGATAGTAGGTTTAAGATTGCTGGGCAGTGGTATGGTGAGTTTTGGAGGGGCTTTTTTCTTTTTCTTTTTCTTTTTTTTGGGGGGGGACAAGGTGGGTGGGTGTGAATGGGGGGGGGGGAGGAAAAGGGAAAGAAAAGATACTAATGTGAGGGATACATAGGAATGCCGATGATAATGGTCTCCTCAAAGACTCTAGCCACCGAAGTCGTCAAATCCTCAGATGACGAAATTGTGTTTAAGTTGCAGCAAGAATACAGGCCGAAACTATTGCCGGTCGGAAAAGCTGTCGACAGTATTTGATTTTTAATTTCTAATTTCTCCCTCCATCCATCTAGCTTCCTCTTCCTCTTCCTCTACCATCAGCTCCTCAGTCATTATCAGCCTCAAAATCAAAATCAACATCAATATCCAAGCACTAAGATACGATACATAACCACATACCGGTACATAACTCACACAAAACAGGTCTCGTAAGCCTAAAACTGATCAAGGAAGGAGATGTGGAAAAAGTCATCTATCATAAGGATATGTGGAATGCAAAGGATTATAGTCATGAGGGGTTGGGAAAGGTATTTAAGACGCTTAATGGAGATTATTTGACGGGGATTACGGGGCCGCCGAAGAGTTTGTGAGGGTTTCTTTTTAGAATGGCGCTGGGGTTGGAGGGCTTGGGAGGGTAAGGGTGAGAGTAGGGGAGGAGAGAGATGTTTGTTCTGTTTACTTTTGGGAATTATGTTTGAGGGGTAAATAAAGTGTTGGAGTAGCTTCTCTCAATCGAGCTGTTATTGTGCAACACATATTCCTACTCTCAACGCTACTATAGCACTAGAAAGAATACTATTTATGCATACCAGAAGCATTCCAGGAGCATTCCAGGAGCATTCCAGTTACAAGTTGCCATCGCCTTGTACATCACCTTGTGCATACATTTAGATATTACAGCCATAAACTACCAGTACTTAATAAACTTACACCATCTCGCCAGATTCTTATCTTATAATACTCTTTTACTTATTAATTCTCCTTCGGCCAATGAAGGCATAATTTCGTTGTATAATTTCCGTATCTTTATTAGCCTAATCAATCTTTTTACCTTTATACATCGGATCTCGGATAGTGTGTGAAAAATCGAATAATTTGAAGCAGCTAAAGCTGTAAATGATATTTGTAGTATTTCTGTCTGATCTAGGTTAACGTCAATGAAACGAATACATTTAATTATTATTAGTTGGGTTTTTGGTTGGGAACGCATTATTGCTCAGGAATTGCTAAATATCTAGATATTCACTTTTAGCAATTCAGCTTAGCGAATGCGCTTCGTTAAATAGGGGAACTAGGGAATTAGCTCGCTAAAGAGTCAAGGGCTTATTGTTTATGGGTCCAGTGCTATACTATACATATACCGTCAATGAAGCTTGGAAAGCTGGGAAAGCTTTCGAATATACGAGTATATAACACCACTTCTTCACCCTATACCTAAACATTATTAAAGTCTTTGTCTCTTGATTCTTGCTCTACGGGAACCTCAGATAAGATATTTCTTTATTAACAAGGAATTATTGTACTAAATCATATATTGAAGTGAAATGAAATGTATTAAGATATTGTATTAAGATCTGAAATCATAGTTCAAAGCCAATATGAATTAGTTCATTTTTAGTTCATTTTTAGTTCGATATAGTTTCATTCTTTTTACTCTAAATCGATGATATCAAATTCATTTATATCTACTAAAAACTTTCAACTATACCTATTCTCTTTACAACTTTTCAATCAAGTTAACTTGAATGATTTCAATGTTCAGTAAGTTAGAATGGTTTCAATCGTTGATATAGATCTAGCGCGTGCAACAATGAGAGTGAGAGGGCTTGGGAGGCTTGGCAGGCCAGGGAGGGGAAGCCAGAGAGGAGAGGCTAGGGAGTGAGCCTCAGTGAGGGGGTGGCAGCTGAGAGGCCCGGGAGAGAGTGACTATTGATATCAGGGGACTTTTTAGTTTCTAATCTCAATATATATATATTAAAAAAGAACGCTTGCAAAAAATAGCTGATTAATCTATGTAATATAGGTTTGTGTAGGGTATATTCTCCAGACTTTAGCAAAGTATCATAATATAAATATGATAATACACAAAATCAAACATATTAATCACCGCGATTCCGCCTAATAAACTCCTCTCGTACTGGACATGATCGAAACATTGCTAAATCATATCCTTTCAATATATTAAGTTGTGCGTACGAGAGATTATTGTTGAAATCTATATTGATAGAAACGTGAGATAATGCCTCGTTGTTGGTTTTTCGATATCCATATTTGGAAAGGCCTTTGTATTCCTTCAATAACTTCTGAGTATATTGGACGGAAAATACGCGCTTCACTACGAGCAGCACCTATGTTATGAATATAAACCCTGAGATCTAACTCGTCTGAAGAGATTATATCGCAAATTCTATTATATATTTCGCCCCAATAATTGCCGTTCGCAGGCCTTAAAGATATAATATGATCGTTTCTGAGGAGGATATTATTATATCACCAAAAGCTGAATCACTTACAGATGTGGATTTTGTACTGAATACTTTGGTAGTCGATAAGGCAGATGGCTTTCCTTATTGAAATTGAGTAGATATATTGATCTTGAAAGATTACAATTTGTAGATTTGTAAGTTATTCTATATGAATCGAGGATGTTTATACTCGAGTTCGAGTATATTAGCTCAATACGAGTATAGGATTCTCTTCGATAGATAATAGTGGTTGTTTGAAAATATCGTCGTTGAATTGGGAATGTAATATTATAAGTACAAGATAGGCTTATTGTACTCTATCTAAAGTATTTCGGTTTTGATAAAAATTGATTCGTTATATAAGACTGGTTATTGGGATATTCATCTTTTTGTCATTGGTAGATTCCTATCATTCTGAACATGATGTACACTTTGTTGCATTGCCACATGACAGTCCGGGTAAAATCGGCAATTAAAAATCAATTACACAAGCGGTTTCATATCGTCCCAAGAATCTTAATCGCAAGGGAACTTTCTCTCAAGCAGAAATAGGATATACTCCTCCTCCTTATCAAAGTCCTTACGATAATTCATTAGCAATAAATCCTTCGTTTCATTTACCTTCCATCTCGCATCATAGTATACCATCTACAGTCACAACACTTGCACCGTCATCTTTGAGCAATCATCTGATATTTACGATAAGAATACATTGGTTAATCCACGGGATCTTTCACTTGATCACAATCCTACCAATTAAGTTTCAATACTAAGACGAGAAAATGCTTAATTCTCAAACTTTCTACAAGCTTCTTTATCTTCTAATTAGGATGGCCAATTCTTGTTTTTTCATATTTTGATATCAAGCTATTTTAGGAGGGTTTTTATTAGGCTTTTCATCAATAGGTTATAGCAGTGCAAGATAATATAAAATAAATACTATTTATATTACTGCTGAAATAATAGAAGCAAAAATGATTATTGAAGAAATTATGAGAAAAACCTACGAATATTCTATAGCAATAGATCTCAGCACAGTTCTTAGGTGATCTAAGCTTGAAAACATATTTGCCTAAAGCTATTGGCAAACTTAGTTGGTATATTACATCGGTAACATTCTTCATATCACATGATTAATATCACATGGATATCCCAGCAATCCCAGGGATCACAATAGAACTAGGACAACTGGGAGCACTGGGATACCTAACATGAAGGTTTATATAATCAGGATAGGTTTTCTTATTATAGAGCTTCATGCTCAAGATCAATTATTTAGTATACTCTACTATTAATTACGAATACAATCATTATTAGTCTTTACTCTAGTCCCTGCTTAACACCTAATCATAAACCACCTCAAAAGCCTAGAAGCATTTCCACGTAATCTAGACGACAGCCCTCATAACAGGGTATAGCTTTCAAGAGTTCGATTTAGCATAGAATAAATACCATCTCACATCTCTCAAATAATAAGTTATTATACTCTCCTCACTACAAAAATAACCATACAGCAGAGCATACCCTGGCTTTTCAACCCTGAAGATTTAAATAAATTCGAAAGTACGAGGCTCCTCATCAATGCTTAATACAAAAGTGATGAATCAGTTCTTTGATATATATTTGCTGATTCTCCCAATATGGTCGGCCCAACCAAAAGGGAAATTTCCGATCCCAACCACTAAGTGAAAGATGTATATTTTGTGATCACTCCCCTGTTATACGAGGCTAGAAAATATACTCACATTGTGAATAACAATCATTTTTGCTTGTTTTTGAGAGGTTTCTTACAGAGTAATTGATAATCCAAGAGAATTGGATGATTTTAAGAGATAGTTGAAGGATTGAAGATTATGAATATTGAGGGGTGAGATTATTGATGACCAATCCCAAATTCACAGTCCAACAAACGGAATTAATTAATATCTTGTTTGATATTGATTGTAAAAAGATGATTTTGAATTTAGTAGAAAGTCTGTAGTTAATTCTATGATAATACAAGATATGGGATTTTTATACTTAGAATCTATTCTACAATATTGAAAAGTATATTGGAAATATCTTATTTTTGTTACGGGATCTCTTATAAACCCTAACATTATACAATGTGACAGATATTATGTAGTCACATTGATAGGGTAGCATATTTTGTGACGGACATTATATAGAGTCACATTGACAGTAATATATTTTGTGACGGACATTATGTGGAATCACATTAACAGAGCAATATATATAACGGATATTAACAAGTGTGACGGAACAGACAGCTCTCTTCCGCCCACTGGCTCATACTACATACATAGTATGATATGACGGCTCTTTTTGACCTTCCTTTCACAGCTTAGAGCCCTAGCTCTATAGCTCTAGACCTAGGCATCTTACGCCTAGGACTCTTTCACCCTTTTTGGCCTAGCCCTTATGGCTCCCAATACCTGTATATATAGTCTTCCTTTTAGCATCCTACATAGCTCTTCACTTGTAGATTCTAAGTACACAATCGGAGTCCTGTTTATACCCTTTTGGTCACAATAGTATTAGGGATATGATATTCTAATATAGTTGTAATAAAAGCTAGTTATTGAATTTCCTATATAATTACCAAATCCTAGTCTTGGGATATTTGAAAAAAAAAAATTGTAAATAAATTTCGTATTACAAAGTAATAATACAAGATGTCGGTTTACGGAAAACAGTTTACAAAAAACAATTTTAAAGCAGCAGGGCCAAGTAATGTAAATATATTTTAAATTTGGATGGGTACCTATACAAAAGGCGTTTGTGGTTTAGTGGTAAAATCGTTGCTTGCCAATACAACTTGCAATGGCCCCGGGTTCGATTCCCGGCGAACGCAGAATGAATTCTTGTTTTGTTTTATTTTATTTGAAGTTGTGATCGATGGTTGATGGTAGATGAAATATGAAAGTGGATGATGGATAAGGTTAGTGGATAGAGAATGTGGGGTAAAAGCTAAGCAGGGATATATTGACAAAGTCTAAATTTTGGATTCCTGTTGGTATGAAGTCTTCATTTGATTTATACTAACTATATACACCATGCTATCTAATATTAAGCTCCAATTCATCATGATAAGAGAGCACTCTTCAGCCATTCAGCAGGAGCAATTTGTGGTGCTGCTAGCTCATTAACCTCCTTGCTAGTCGTTGCGATCGAGCACTTTCCTTCCCAGGCTGTAACAGGCGCAGTTTTGATGGATAAAATGAGACTTTTATTCTCCTCGACCGAATCCGCCCAAGTATCAATAAAGCTCACATCTCTAAATATGACATTTTTGATCGGTGTTCCTATATGTTGCTCAACCAACTTCACGATTTGCTTTCCTGTGATATCCTCTGGTCCATTAAGCACATATTTGGCCTTGTTATGGACGGAATGATCTTCCTGGCTGAGAAGTACAGCTGCAAAGCGACCAACGTCGTCGGGATGAACGCATCCAAGGCGCGCATCTTCGTCAGCCATCAAGGCGAGTGTGCCTTGCTTGCCATCTTTGCGATACTGCTTGATGAACTCTATGGCAGGCCCAAGGACCATGGTGGTAAAGACGTTTGGCTGCAATGACGTCCATTGTAACTTTTCAAACTCTGGCGAACTCAATAACGCCTCGATAGCCCAATGTTGCCGTGGGTAATACGCCGGATAGTCAGGGTGAACGTTAGCAGCGGTGGTAGAGATACGCACGACGTATTTCACACCAGCGTGAAGGGCAGCGAGGTGGAATGTCGATTCATCTGCAAAGTGGGACGGTTCGTTGTGAGAAGCAATCTATGAGTAGAGGTTAGAAGATTGCAGATATGATCGGGCACGTGTACTCATACAAATGCCTTGACAACGTTGCGTTCACGCAGCCAATCGGGACTGATGCCCACCCAATTCTTCTCTTCAATGGTCACATTTGGCAGTTGGGCAAGTTTCTGTGCAACAGGGCTTTCCGAGGAACGTGTGAGAGCAATGATACGATATCCTGCAAGTGCTTGGTTGGTGTTTATTGAGTTCGAAAGGGTCTCGACCACACTTCGACCCGTGTTACCAGTTGCACCCACGATTAAAATTGTTGAAGCCATCGTGATTGAAGTCCTGTGGGAAAGGAAGTGGAAGTATGTGATGTTGTTTGTTTGATATTTAAAGGTGTACAGAAGGATTGTTATTTTATTTATATATCTATCTATCTGTTGGGTTTGTAATATTCTACAGGTCTGAAGTACAGATCAGTGACCAGTACTGTGTTTCTCTATTAAATTGCTCACAAATCAAGAGATGACAAATCAAGTAGAATTATACGTCCGCCGTTTCGGCCGCTCGCTAATCGTTGAAACCAATCCCGGGAGGTGCTAATAAGAAGTGGAGGCTCAATAGAACCATGACATTCATTGGCTTTTGTAGATTTAAACTATAGATCTACAGAGACCCAGAAGGATCTAAGCTGTTTACGGAGGTATAGTTGGACTCCTACCTTCGGAGGTTTTCAAAAGAGGGAAGGTTGAAAAAAGCAAATGAAACTAACCCTCTTCAATTAGCCACTCATCTATTATATAATCATATAGGAAGCTATGAGTTCCTTTGCTAAAGACCTCTATTCCCACCGACTTTTTATCTGCCACCTTCACAACTATCTTTCTTTTTTTAACTTACTTTTCGTCCACGCCAATTTAAACCTCTTAAATTCCCCGTCCCTCGACATCTTAAATCTTTGCATATATAAGTAGGCTTGGAATATTAAAGCTCCTTTGGTGAATGGAGTGTGTAGGGTATAGTATCTTTGTGCGGAAATGTTATGCCTGAGATGGCTCTCAGGAAGAATCTCTTTCCATTGGTTTGATCACCACAGACGGTATTCTGTGACAAGGAGAGACACAAAAATGTTGGAAATTAACAATTTCATTATATGGGCTTGGTTGTTCTTGTGACCGCTGACTCGGCGGAGAGCAGAGACTGCAGTTTATGAGCAATTCGTTCATCGAGTACGTACCACATTCAATGCATTATGGATGCGACCGCTCAGTGAGCAAGGTACTGGATGGAATTTATGTTCAATCAACTTTCAGGCTTTGGATACTTGTGTATCGATACATTGCTATCAATAAAGAGGCCCCTGGCCGGTAGAGGAGCTCCAATCCAATTTTCTCGTGGAATCTCCTGGTCCAGACTCACAAGCGGCCCATCTCATATCGGTCTACCCTACTTGTGGGTGTCATCAATGAACTCATGCCTTTTCACGGCATTTTCAAAATCACACAAAATTGTCTTATCACCTGCCGCGATTGCGTCATACACACGAGCCACATTCCTGTTGATCGGGGCCATTTTAGCAAAACTTCCCTTCTCAAGCTCAATGGTTTCAACCTCATCAGTATCGAAGCTGTGCAGCTCAACACTGGTCGTACCCCTGATCCTAATCTCCCCCTTCTAGCCATAGATATTCCACTCAAGCGCAGGACTTCCTTAAAAGGTGCTCCACCTCGAATGGTCGCTGAAAGGACTGCTCCTGACTCAAGTGTACCTTGGATCATGACATGGTCTGGAGAGGTTTTCTCGAAATTCTCTTTGACAACGGTGCCGTCGGCTGAAACGACTTTGATAACTGGACGTTGGTTCGAAATAAGAGACTCGACGCTTGATAACTCACCAAGGACTAAATCAATCAATATTAGCACACATTATTGAAATGGATGGTGATTCTTCAAATGAACCTTCTCTGACTGTATCGAGTAAATGTGAGGCCGGAATCGTGAGTAATGATGCACCAGTTTTACAGTCAGATAGATACGTTTGAGTCTCCAACTCTGTTTGTCCTCCAATCACTCCTTGACCGAAGATTGTGGTGCTAAGAACCTTGCCAATTCTTCCCTCTGCCAATACCCTTTTCAGAGTTTCGACAGAAGCATCAAAGTGGCCTTGAAGCCCGACTGCAGTGAGCTTCACCTTGTTTTGTTTGGACACCTCGAGAAGTTCCCTCGCCTCCTCAAGATTCTTTCCCAGCGGCCACTCGACAAAGACGTTCTTGCCGGCCTTTAGAGGAGGCATAATGGATGCATAGTGACGGTCAACTCGAGTAGTGCATACAACAAGATCTACATCTTCATCATTGGCGATGTCTAACAAGGGGTCAGTAACAGCCATTTCACCATCTGATAGAGGACAATGTAGGACGCATGCATATACGCATACAGCCATGACCACAAACCTTGTACATCACCGTAAACCCTGACTTCCTTTCCCAAACCAAGATCCTTGGCACTCTTTGCCGCATTGTCTACAGAAAAGTTACAAATAGCCACAATTTTAAATTTCGAATCGGCATGCTGCAAATATGGTAAATGAGCATTGGCAGCCCAAGCACCGGGGGAAAGGCCGATGATGCCAATAAGTATTGCGGATATGATCATGGAAGTAGTGGAGAATATAAGGATACCAATAGTTTAAGCTGGACTCTAACTTACCCCATCATAGATAGACTCCGCCGAGACCCGCCGGCTGCCGGCTAAAATCCTGGCCTATTGGATTATACAGGTACCCGCATCGCACAGCAGTTTACTATAAAACACTCACATTAACTACAGATTCCTCGCTTTAAAGGATATCGAACAATACTTTAATACTTTATCAATATTAGTCTTAGAAATCCATCACACAATGTCGTACCCTAAAACCTACCAAGCCTTCAGACGCAGTACAGGCACTATCCCCACAACACTCGAACTATCCACTGAAGAAATTCCATCACTCACGCCCCAAGATGTGCTAATTCGCATCCACGCCATATCCCTAAACTACCGCGACGTATTCATGATGCACGGCAAATACCCAATGGAAATCATCGAGCAGGGCATCCCTACATCCGATTGCGCAGCCGAAGTGGTAGCTATTGGATCCGCGGTGCATGATTTTAAGATTGGGGATCACGTGGCCCCGATTTTCGATTTGAAGAATCTGGATGGCACGGAAGATGAAACGGGTGCCTTGGGTGGAGATTTCGATGGTGTATTGCGCCAATTCGCGGTCTTTGATCAAAATGTCTTGTATCACTTGCCTGAGCACTTGTCTTGGGAGGAGGTATGTGATATGCGCTATGCGCTATGCGAAATCTGGGTTATTCTTTTGAGATGCTGATTTGACGATAGGCGGCTTGTGTTACTTGCGCCGGAGTAACGGCTTGGAATGCATTGGATATGCCGAGGTTGAAAGGCACTGCTTTGCTTCAAGGTAAACTCCAGCTTTTCGACTCCCGCAGATAAATGATATGATGCTAATGATAACTTTCAATCCTCAGGCACTGGAGGCGTGAGCATGTTTGGCCTACTGATCTGCCTGGCCGCTGGCATCCATCCCATCATCACCTCGTCCTCAGACCGAAAACTGGATCTGGCCAAGGCGAATGGAGCGCCGGGCGCTATCGACACCATCAACTACAAAACGCATCCTCAGTGGGCAGAGGAGGCACTTCGCATCACTAATGGACGAGGTGTTAATGTTATAGTTGATAATGTGGGAGCAACCGCGATAGCTCAGAGTCTCTCTGCCCTTGCGCGGAGAGGAACGGTATCTCTAGTGGGTTTCTTGGGAGGATTCGACATGGACACCTTTCCGGATACGATCTTGCCGACTTTGAAGAAGGGTGCTACGATAAGGCATGTCACCATCCAAGAGAGATGACCACAGAAGTGCTAATCATGATTTGTCTTTTAGGGGGATTTATGTTGGCTCTAAGATCGACCATGAGAATTTATCCAATTTCTTGTCGGAGAAGAAAGTTGACTTGAAACCCATTCTGGATCATGTCGTGTTTACTTTCGAGGATGCGCAAGCTGCTTTTGATTATCTTTATGATGCGAAGCATATTGGTAAGGTTGTGATTAAAATATGAGAGACTTCCGGGCTTTTATGATTGTAAGATTAGCATAGATGGCGTTTTCTATGTTAGCTTTCTTGAACGCGAAATATTGCCGTAAAACTGGGATTTGTTTGCCTTACAATATAATAGAACAGAACTCAATATCAAAGATTCGCTTATACATTTAGAGGACCTTTCCCCATGAATATTTGTGCAAGGTTCCATCGAATAAGCTGTCAGCTCTAAGTTCTCAGTCAAGTGTGCTGCTTAGCATTAGAAATGTTTCGAATAAGATAACGCGACACTCACTCTTGATCGTTGAAAATCATTCTAATAATAACACCTAGAATCATCATCAATTTTGTGCGAAGGAGATATATTCACTTACCTACCTGCATTGGGAAGAAACCAGATCGCATCAGCCACAGCCTGGAAGAGCTAGCAGGCTTGGCAAATGCATTACATAACTGACATTGCATATGGATTACCGTATTTATTTGAAAATTTCGGTAACGCTATACAGATTTTGGCAATTGTTGTGTGGGATCACTAGTATGAATTGGCACCTAGTATTATAACTTATCCCCTTGGCAGAACTAAACTATTGCGATGAAAAATTGGATGTACCAATATCATAACGTGGTTTATCAGTGGGTCGGCCATATCAGTGGGTCGGCCACTTTTACCTCGATTTATTATTCTACACTTAATACGCGTTTTCTTAATAATTAATTATGGAAATTCATTCTAAAGAAGCACGAATAATCTTAGCTATGAAGACTATTGAATCAAATCCAAAATTAACAATTCGGAAGACAGCTCAGCTCTATAGTGTGCCTCGATCTACATTGGGTGATAGAATTCGAGGTAAACCTAATATAGCTGAAAGTCGACCAAAAAGCTATAATTTGACTGAATTGGAAGAGGAGGTTCTTATTCAATATATACTCGATCTGGATGAGAGAGATTTTGCACCTAAATTAAGTGGTGTGGAAGATATGGCGAATTATATACTCGAATCGCGGGGTGCGAAGAAGGTTGGAAAGCTCTGGGCTCATCGCTTTGTAAAACGACGTTCAGAACTAAAGACGCGTTTTAATCGCGTTTATGACTTTCAAAGAGCTCTCTGCGAAGATCCAGAGCTTATTGAAGGGTGGTTCCGATTGGTATCGAATATGCAGGCAAAATATGGTATTCAGGACTGCGACTTCTACAACTTCGACGAAACCGGTTTTATGATGGGTGTAATATGCCCCGGAATGGTTGTAACTGGTGCTGAACGATGTGGCAGAAGCAAAGCAATACAGCCAGGCAATCGAGAGTGGGCTACAGCGATTATATGTGGTAATGGAGAGGGTTGGACTATACCACTATTTTTAGTGGTGCAAGGATAATATCACCTCTCTAATTGGTATACGGAAAGCGATTTTCCTGCAGATTGGGTTATTAAACCTATTTCTAATGGATGGACGAATAATGAGACGGGTTTAGATTGGATAAAGCACTTCGACAAGCATACTATTCATCGAAGGAAGGGCAAATATCGAATGCTAGTATTGGATGGGCACGAAAGTCACGAATCAATACCTTTTCAGTCATATTGCAAATCAAATGATATTATATGCGTAAAGTTACCACCGCATTCAAGTCATCTAACTTAACCACTTGACGTTGGATGTTTTAGTGTATTAAAACGAGCATATGGTTCACAAATTGAAGGATTTATCAAGGCTCATATCAATCATATCTCTAAGGTTGAATTCTTTATAGCTTTCAAAGCTGCATATCAACAATCGATTACAGTTCAGAATATGAAAGCTGGCTTTCAAGAAACAGGACTAATACCATTCGACCCTCAAGCTATACTCTCGAAATTGGATATTCGAATTCGTACACCTACCCCTTTACCCATTCCCTTGGAATCTGCCGATTCTTGGGTCTCTCAAATACCTCATAATCCAACTGAAGCTCTTTCACAATCGACTTTAGTAAGATCTCGAATTGCTCGACATCAATCAAGTTCTCCTACACCTATTTTCGAGACTGTAACTGCTTTGACTAAGAGTACAGAACAATTAGCTCATAAAGTTACACTTTTAAATACAAAGAATTGTATACTTCAAAAGACAAATAAAGCATTAAGCAAACATCGACACACTAAAAAAGTTCAACTATGGAATGGAGGAGTACTTACTGGACAGGAAACTGAGGATATATTATCACAACAAAAGGTAAAGGTTCAGATTCGACACAACGAGCATCAAAATGGGAGAAATTCTAATAGGGAATCTTCTACTAGTCGATGCTATAGCAAGTGTGGAAAGACCGGTCATAATTCAAGAACTTGTCAGAATGATGTAATAGATCCTAGTTTATTAGATTCTTAACAGTTTTAATCGATTCATTAAATTGTTCTTGAATAATATAGCTTTGAAGTAATAAATCGAGGTAAAAGTGGCCGACCCACTGATATGGCCGACCCACTGATAAACCACGTTAGTCCTAAATATTTAATTTCCCAACTCGGAGTTGTCTTATTGATACGGTATATCAAGTCATGTGTATACTAGGCATTCGAAACGAATCATTTGAAGATCCATAAAAGTCAACCCGATAATGTCTGATCTTTGATTTCAAAAGGGCATTCAAAATGGTCATATTCGGATTTGCGTGCCTCAGAAACAGGCTGCGTAACTTAAGAAATTCGAGAAGACTATCCATGGGGCCAGAACGGTCGATGGCAATGTCACCTTGCCAAATCAGATACTCAAGTATTAGCAATCCATCTGTTTTGCCATCCATATCAGTTTGATGAGCTCGTACGAAGAGCGTGCGAAGTTGCAAAGCCGGAAGAGGATACCTTAGGTCAACTTCATCTGCTTTAATTTCGGAAAGTATGACATCCCGCATAGTTGGGCGGAAGAGCGCCTGTAGGAGTTCCATATCAAAAGCATAGTCGAGATTCCATTTCAAAGTTTGAAGGAGTGGTAAAGTCCACCGGTAACATAGTATTTTTCGTAGTACAAATCAGAGTTAGTGAATGTCTTGTTTAGGTTGTAATTCTCGTGTATTGTCACACAGTCTAGTCTGCGGTCGAACATTGATTTCTTCACTCGCAATAGAGCTAATTTTTTCGTCAATCTTCACTGTAAGACTGCGAATACAGGCTCCTAAAGTTGGGAGAGATGTGCGGCCGTTATTCCGCCGGCGCTCGAGAGCTTCGTGCATCAATAGTTGTACTATCTCGCTGAAGAACTAGAACCTCGTATATGATGGGGCGGGGCGATTCCAGTAGAATATTAGGAAAGGAACCCTAGAAAATACAATATGAGATAATTTTCGGCGGTGTCTGCGGAAGGAAAGATCTTTTAGGGGCCTTTCCTTTCAATAGGCGGGCTTGGCTGAGAGGACGGAGAGGAAGGATCTTGGATCAATCTTGACGGCAGTAGACTGACGAGAACGAGCTAATTGACGGCATTCTCTGTTAAATATTGTAAGACTTGCAAGGACTTTAGCTTTAAGAAGGTCTAGAGTGATTTGTAAGAGCTCAGGGGTAAGCCTGAAGAGGCTTGTCGCAGTCTTCAAAGGCTCATTTTCCAAGGTACAACTAACCAATAGGCAGTGGCAGAGGACTGAATGCAGAAGTTCCCATAATCACTGTCTCGAGGGTACTTGAAAAGTGGAGCAACCGATGTTGTCATTGTAAATAATACAATTAATCATCTTTTGAACCTAATGTTGCGAGATAATGTATGATTGGCCAGTTCCAAAGTGTTAGTGAAGTTTAAAGCAAGTTGTCAATTAGCATAATCAAAATGAGGTTGTACGATCGTAAAGTGAGGAAAATAAGTCTACTACCCCCCTTTCAGGCCACCCTTTCATACCAAAAACAGCGATTTTCGAGTATTCCCAATTCTGTCAATATTGAATATAATTAAATGAAATCTTAAATATAGATTCTTTTTATAGTTATTAGCTCAGTTACAAATTTTCAGACTTTTAATAATTTTATATAAAAAGTTATTAGAGTTTAAAAATCAAGATTTTCATTTTATATACGATTTATATACAAATTTCAAATTATTCTAAGAATCTTAATAATCT